GAGGTTTTTTCTTCAAAAACTTGGAAAAAATAGAAGACGATGATGAATAATTTTCAAAATCAAGATAAAAATTAATTTTACGCATTAATAATCATCAGGTTTTTGAAAACAAAAAATCAAAAAAATCCGAAATTTTCCAAAAAGTGAATTTCGTTGCCAAAAAAGTTGTTTTTCGTTGTCTGGATGAAAACGATTCATAATATTTTTATAGGGTTATTTGCTACATTTTACAAAAAAGTTTGACACTTTAGCTCTCTTTTGAAGAAAGTTACATCCCTGTCGACGAATTTAACCTGTCGACGCATTCTTTTTGGCAAGTACTGTACATATTGAAAAGGAATTATTTCAAAATAATACAACTTTTAGTTTTGTCATATTTTTTTGTTTTTCCAGAGAATATATTAGAGGCAATTAGAACACTCTGAATTGCTGATTCAATGCAAATTTCATCAGGAATCGACTGGTATACATATTGAGGACAACACTCTTACTGAGTTTTTAAAAATTTATTATCTACCAAAACACCTGGGATAGGAGGGCCGACCTTTCTTTTTTACGATTCAGACCTTCCTTGTATTGTAGGGGCCCTTCTAATGCAGGCTCAGGAGTGACAATGTTGTGGTTGCCTTTCGAGCTCAATTATCTCAATTCTGACAGGAGCTATCAATAATTTGTAAACTAATAAAATAAGGATGGCCTGATAATGAGCATTTTATCAGTTGACAGGTTTTTCATATCTGTTACAGAACTTGAGATGAATAAGCTCAAAGTGAAAGTAAAGGGGTGGAAAATACTATGATGAAACATTTGAAAATTTTATCTGACTCTGAAACAAGACAAATTTCATATTCTAAATCTTGATAAACTCAAAAAAATTGGTTTATATGGCATTTGTGTTTTAAAAGCTCTTTTTGGATCTGCTGTGACGTTTTGAAATGAAAAATTGAAAAATTAATATTATATTTTTTCGAAGGTGTTGATGGGAACATGGCTGATAATTGAGAAATAGACATTGATAGCCAATATTTCAGTTTTTGATACCAGCTGAAAACTTTTTTAACAATTCGCAAAACTGCATTTTCATGAGAAAATTCTCATTTTAAAAAACCAAATCTAAATTGAATTTTCTCGGTGCCATCGCTTTCGGAAAATCTTAATTTCATATTTGAAACTTGATCCGTTGCTTTTCTTTTTTTTTTCAATTTCCCCGATTATGGAGGCGCATTAAAAACAAACAATAACGGATTTTTTTTCTCGATGCAAAATATTTATTCGGGAACAGTTATTTTCAACGAATGAACAATTCACATAAATTTTTTCAAAAATTGGTGGAAAGTGATGTGGAGACAAGGGACATGAAGGAAGGGAACCAGAAAAATTTTTCGTGGAGTTTCAGGGGGAAAATCAAGTGTCGTGGGGTTTTCTAGAAGGTTTTACAAGTTTTGGGAACGAAAATCGTGGGGATGAAGAGACTCGAAAAAGTAAGGCGAGAAACGAGGATTGAGAGAGAAGGGAGAAAAAAGCTCAAATACAGTATTGATGGCCAGAGATGGGCTGAAAATTGGAAAAATTTGAAACCATGAAAAAGGAAAAATAATAAATGAAGTGGTTGTTTGAAAATCAAAGCAAAACCAATTTACAGGATAAAATAAAGATCGTTTCTGTTTTCCAATTAAGAGAGTTGACTATTTTCAACAGAAACAAAAAAAGCGTTTAGGTGACGGGGTGGAACAGAATTCGGCATTCCAAAACTCAAAAAAATGGGAGAGAGAGAAAAGCATGAATTGAGATGTGATGATCATAATTGAGTTGAGAAATGGGAAAAAGTCAAGTGAAATGGTTGTGTGCAAGTGTAAAATCATGAAAATTGTGGTAGTTTAATTATTTCTGTTTTCAAGTCAAGAGAATTGGCTATTTTCAACCGAAACAATCAAATATGCTGGGTTCGGAGACGAATACAACAAAAATGGAAAAAAAATGGTCAGAGGAGAGGAAAGAGCTGCTTGTGAAACTTGGGTTGTGACTTTACAAAAGTTAGTGTAGATTGGCGATTTCCAAAAGTGTAGACAAATGAATTCATTTCTGGAAACGTGATCAATTTTTGTTGCGAAACTTTATAAAATTGATTTTTCAATTTGACAACCGTCCGTTAATTAGAGGACCCAGTAGATTTTAATGGTTCTGAAAAAACTAAAAGTGATATCAAAATTCGGTAAACGCCATTCGATTTAGAATACAAAATAACCCCCAGGTACAAATTTTCATGTTCTTACCTTTTTTTACACCCCCGTACCAACAAAAAGACCCTCCAGCAGGCGTCCAATAATTATAGGACCCCATAGAAAAATGAAAAATCTCAACTATTTTAAAGTAAAAAAATTGAAATTTTTTGTTGGAAACTGTTGAAATAGCCTTAAAACAGTCTATTTTGACGTTTTACGCAAAAATTGATTCCTCTATTGAAGTTTTAGAAAAAATTATTTTCAGACATTTTCGTCATTTTTTGGGTTTTTGGAATAAATCGCGAATAACTTGGCTCCTGGGTAAGATTTTGCGCTGAATTAATAGGATATATCTCAAGAATGCTTATAATCATGTTGATATTGTTCTAGGAATTCTCGACCACTGGTAGCTCATTATTAAGCTTGAGCTTTGAACTGAAAAAACATGCCAAAACGAGAAATTTTCAAAGTTGTATAAAACGTCGGAAAGATGTTCTAAGTTACTAAAGTTGCCATTGAATTTGTTAGATTGTACGGAAACTTAATTTTATTTGTGAAATCAAGTTTTTAACGAAAATCAGAATTATCGAATTTCTAGGTCAGTTTTGGAAATTTCAGTTTTGCCTAAATTACAAACCACGGCTCGGAATAGCACCAAGACAATTAGTAAACACTCGAAACCACTGCAGAAATATTTCCAATTAATTGCAGCGCAAAATCTTACCCGGGAGCCAAGTTATTCGCGATTTATTTCAAAAACTCTAAAAATGGCGAAAATGTCTGAAAATAACTTTTTCTAAAACTTGAATAGAGGTATCAATTTTTGCGTAAAACGTCAAAATAGACGGTTTTAAGGCTATTTCGACAGTTTCCAACAAAAAATTTCACTTTAGTTGAGGTTTTTCATTTTTCTAGGGGATCCTATAATTATTGAACGCCTGCTGGAGGGTCTTTTTGTTGGAACGGGTGTCTAAAAAGAGGTAGAAACATGAAAATTTGGGCTCTTTATGATTTAACGGGGGTTTCCAAAATTAAGGAGGGTTTTGAGAATAGACGGGGTTTTGAGAATTAACGGGGGTTTCGAAAATTAACGAGGGTTTTGAGAATAGACGGGGGTTTTGAGAATTAACGGGGGTTCTCAAAAGGTGTCAGTGTCCCGGTTGGGGAAGTCCCCAAATTGTCTGAAAGCGCTACAGTTTTATGTTTTTTGCTTCTTTCAGTCGATTTATTCATTTTTGAAATCATTTTTCCTTTTTTCTTTGTTTCCATTTTTAAAGGAGGCGAGACAGCAAAAATTTCGGGGGACAGTTCGGAGGACGAAATCGCGCCGCGCTTATGTAGACCATCGGTCGTCAGGCGCCTTCGCGCCCCCGTAGCTCAGCCGGTAGCGGAGCTGTACCCCTGGGCTGCCTGTCATGAGTTCAACCTCTCATGGGGGTTCTCTATGCAAAATATCAGGAAAACTTTTTATTTGGTGTCTGGCCTCCTTTAAAGTTATTTTGGTTCTGTTCTCTGAACGATGTTTTGAGACACATCTGGAAATCAAATTTCAGGCTACACCCAGCATAGTAATTGAACTTGCTGCCATATTTCAGATTTCCCAGATGAAGGAAACATGGTGTTTCAACATAAGCCTACCATTGACAAAATCTTTCCTTAAAAATATTATCCAATTTGTCGTAAAATCAAGACTAGCACTTTGGAACATTTTGGGGACTTCACCAACCATTCCCTTGAACCCTTTCAAAAACCCCCGTTAATTCTCAAAACCCTGTTAAATCATAAAGAGCCAAAATTTGTACGTGGGGGTTATTTTGTATTCTGAATCGAATGGCGTTTACAGAATTTTGATATCACTTTTAGTTATTTTCAGAACCCCCAAAATCTAGGGGGGGGGGGGGTCCTATAATTATTGGACGCACTGTAAAAACCTTCCTAAAGTTTTGAAAACACAAAATAAAATTCTCTTCAGGATTTGTTGATTTTCTATAAGCAGAATATGATAATTCACTTGAATATCATAACAAATCGGGAAATATATTAGGTTGGAAGGAAAGTAACTGTCCATTTTTTAATTCGTGAATAACACAAAAATAAGAACTATCCAAGTTTGACAGTATGCACCGTCGTGGTCCACAACATGCTGACAACATTCACGTAACTTGTGGATACCATACCTCAAAAAGCCAGTTGGCTGCAACTCAAAGAATTGTTTTCAGTCCAGATTTTATCTCATTTACAGTGTTAAGTTTTTTCCTCCAGATTACGTTACGTGTCTCCTAATAATCAATAATGAAAGGGCCAAATCAGTAGTTTGAGGACGCGTAAAGAAAAACCGTCCCGCTGAAGCGGTCTAGGTCTTACTTGACTCCCCGTGGAACATAGAACCTCGTTTTATTTAAGGAACGGCAGTTCAGTCCTAAGCCGCTTTGGTTGAACGGCTTTCGACTTTCCTTAAAGTCCAGACTTGGTCCTTTTATTATTGGTTATCTGGAGATATACAACGTCATCTGGAGGGAAAATTATTTTGCACTGTCGATGAGATAAAAACGGCACTTCAAGAATACTTTGATACGCAGCCAGCTGGCATTTGGAGGTATGGTATCCACAAGTTACCTGAATATTGTCAGCATGTCGTGGACCACGACGGTGCATACTGTCAATCTTTGATAATTCTTGTTTTTGTGTTATTCACGAATTGAATAATGGACAGTTACTTTTTTTTCCAACCTAATATATTTCATAAATTGGGGAATATCTGATAATTTTTTGGATATTCTATTGGCTGGTTCCGTATACAACTAGAAAAGGCTTGATTGGAGTGTTTCTCTCAGTGAGTTCTAATACCTAAACTTTCACAGTTTAATAAATGCGAGAGAAATCTTACATTCATACGATTGATATCCGTTTTTCTTCAAGAAATCCGACGTATTCTTGTACAGAAAACTGTTGGAGCCAGTAGGTTCTGACGACGACTGTCCTTCAGAATCGCTGACAAAAACCCACTCATCATTAGTCTGAAAATGACAAAAGTTATCACGGAACAATCAACTCAAATTGTTTTTTCATTTTTCTTTTTCGAAAATTTTCCTAGTAACAGTTAATTTTCTGATTTCCAATAGTTTGTTAGATGAATCCTATAAAACTCTACCACATTTTCTCGACCTAACAATCTTTCACAAGTCATTTTCAGACTACTGCTAAATGTTCAACTTGTGCGGTAGATTCACATTGTTCCATATGGGAAGAATAATAAATTCTAGAAGTTGCCTAGTTTCTTTCTGAGAAAAATCTTTCAAAATGAAGTTCAAACCGAATTGGCCGGAAAAAAAACTACATTTTCGAATTCAACGTATTATGAAGCTTACTTTCGCGTCCAAGTCTTCACTGGCAACGTCCTTGGTGACAACAGAAGAAGTTGAAAGTGCGCATTCGTTCGCAAGTTGTTCATCTCTTCTTTTGTCCAATTTATCTAAGTCTTCAAGATTCAATTGATCGAGCGCTTTGAGTTCATCCAAAAGGGCTTGATATTCCGGTAAGACAAAATTTTTCATGGTCTGAAAATGCATTTTGTGAGTTTGAAATAATTGAAAACATTTTTGTTACCTCAATGTTTTCAACAGCTGTTTCGATGGCTGACTTCATAACTTTGTGTCTTTTTTGGAGATACTGCAAAAAATGTTATAAAGTTCTGGTACTTGTTATATTTGCAATTTTGTCAGGTTTTGTGAACTATTTATCTAGAGAAGGAAAAGGAAACACATGAAAATCATTTTCTGGTATTTTTACTGTACTGATGTGATTTGCCAAAAAATTAAATGAAAATTTGCATGTTTCAAGCTACGATAGTTTCACAGGATTTTAGTCTGGAAATTCTCTCTGAACAAAACACAGACATTGAACTTCATTATTTCGGAAAAAAAGATAGATTAGAATAAAGTTTTTTGAGTTTAATTTTATGTTGATTTCTGAAAAACATTCAGACTAGGGTATACAACAAAGTTGTTCGTGTGTCATTCCACCTTTTACGGGCACTTTCGGCTCAATCATTTCGCTTCCTACTAAAAATATCAAAACGTTTCAACTAATAAATCATTTATCATGATTCCACCAATTTTTTATCAGTTGAAAAGTTTTAAACATTTTTCAAAACAACCCAGATAATAGAGCTCATTACTTAGAGTCTTCTCAAAAAGGGAATACTGTGACTAGAAAATCTTGAGGTCCTTGAAGTCAGTTCATGTTTCTTACTTTTAGTCGCTCCTCGTTATCTCTTCTCTCTTCAGCCCTATTTTCTTTCTTCCAGTTTTTGACCAATTCATTGACTTCCTGGAAAAAAACACAAATCTTTTAAAATTACCGTGAAACTTGTGATTTAAGAGTTCCTTCAATGGAAAGGTCCCTCAAATTTTCGTACTTCTTCAGTGAAGAATATTATTCAGAAATTTCACAATTTCAATGAACTTCGTTGGAACTTTACTTTTTGCTCAAAAACTTGCTCAGTTTTTTATAAGTTACCATGTTGTCATATATTTGAACGAGAGTTCACTAATTTTTTTCATAAAAAGTTCTGGAAAAAACAAACGGAAAATTAGAATGATCCTCCAGGGGAACGGTGGAACAAGACAGAAGGCGCCTTACTAATACAGGTTTGGCGGAAAACTAACGTTTACTGTATATGCTATTTTTGTGAAAACAATTTCTCGATTTACCATAAAAACCATACTTGTAATCCGGGCCTTCGCGGGCCTTGCCATTGTTTCTTTCAGAATCATTATTTTCAGACCAACCAAATCATAGTGCTTGACTAGTACTACAAAATAATACTATTTGGAAAACTGTATCTTGCTCGCCAACAAAGTTACATACGAAAAAGGGCGAAAAAAGCAGGCCCTGCTCGGCACGTCCGAAAAAAACCACGTTATGGCCTGTAACTTTGTTTTCAGACAAAATACAGTATTCCGCATAACATCATCTTGTAGTACTCGACGAGTTCTATCATATCCTATTTAGTTGGTCTTAAAATTTTGATTCTGAAAGAAACTATGGCGAAGGCCCAGGAAAGGCACGGATTACAAGTATGATAAAAACTGTAATATAGCGCCATGGCGGTCTATTTTTCGGAGGGGTCTTTTGAGATGATGCAAGGTAACAACAATCGGTTTTTTGCTTGGTTAGCAGATATGCAAGTGTGTGAAATCTTAAGATTCCACTTATACTATGTGAATTAAGCGAAACAATTTTCTTCTGCTACCTATAGGTATTTAACATCTAATAGGCTTGTATTAGAGGGGTTGTTCTACTTCAGGTGGTGTTATATTACAGTTTTTAAGTTATACGTTTTTTACAAAGAGTTTTTAGACTAGGATTCAGGATAAAAGTATTTCTTAATGTATTTTTTACCAGGATTCAGGATAATGTATAAATATAATGTACTTTCTCATGCGTGAACTTCTCAAAAAAAATTGAAGTTTTGAGTTTAACTATCTTTGCAGCCGGTATCCTACCTCCGATCGCGACTCGAGTTTTTTCTTCTTTTCAGCCCAATTTTGTTCATTCCATTTTTCCACACGTTGAAAAATACTTTCCATTGACTGAAAAAAACAAAATTTTTGGAACTAATAATATTAGAGGACTCACGTTCAGATCCGAATCTTCTTTACAGTGTTTTTTTGAACAATGCGAGGCAGTTGAAAAACTTTTTTCGTTATCCATGGCTTCCAAAACACAAGCGCAATCCTAAAAATAGAAAAAAAAATAATTTTCGAATTGCTCAAAGTGCAAAAACGTGAGGGGTTCACTACATCATTTTTTTCCTTCATTGGCTTTTGTTTCAATATCGCTTCTGATTTTTTCATTTAGAGAATAGCAGTGGAAGGGGCTCTAACTGAGTTTACCGGTCCCATGGGAGTTTAGAGGTCCCATGGGAATTTAGAGGTCCCTTTTTTTCAATACTTCATTAATTGTGAAGTGTTAGAAAAGTTTGATTATTTTACAGGCCCACCTGCCTCCTTTTTATTTTTTTTTACTTAACTTCATGACTAGAAGTGTTGACAGTAACTACTGAAAAACTGAAGCATTTCCGCGTCATTAACAGAGGATTCATCCTATCAAAATTTTGTTCTGAAAAAAAAACCGCGAAGTTTTTCGGAATAAATCTACATAGCTCAATTTGTGATAAAGTTTGTAAGAAATATGTTTGTTTGCAATGTCCTTTGGTTGTTATGCTATTCTGAGCCTGTGTTAGTAATTCAAATGGAACTGCGATGGCCGAATTGATCTTGCCGAAATTTTCATACGGTGAATTTTGATTTCAGTTTTACTTGAATCACAAATAACGGCTCAGAATTGCATGAAAACAATCAGAGGGCGATGTAGACAAACGCAAACATATTTCCTATTGCATTATGCTGGACAGCTCACGCAGGAGCAAATTTATTTAGGACCAGCAAGCTGGTGCGCCTTCCGCGCGGTTCAATTTAGTTTTTTACTGGTTCGTGGCTCCGCTACTCAATTATTCGTAAAGTGTCACGTAAATTTATATTTAATTTTCAAGCTTTTCAAAAGTTGACAGACTGACACGAGAATGGACAGACGCCTCTAGCGTTTTATATATAAGGAAGATCTATTCCAAAAATCCTGAAAATAACACAAGTTTTTGAAAACAATTTTTTTGAACTTGAATAGATGAACCAATATTTGTGTAAACTACCAAAATAGTCTGTTTTGAGACTATTTTCCCAGATTCTGAAAAATTCACTTTTTTCTCCAAAACTAACAGATTTTTCATTTTCCAGGAAAAATTTAGTTAGGTGGACAGAACAAAATTTTGATAGGATGAATACTATCTTTATGATGCGGACTGTATGAAGTGCTTCAGTTTTTCAGTAGTTACTGGCAGCACTCCTAGTCAAGAAATTAAGTAAAAAATGACGAAGAGGCAGGTGGGCTTGTAAAATAATCAAACTTTTTTCAAACTTCACAATTGATGAACTATTGAAAAAAAAATGACATACGCTGCTTCGAACTACATCCCTCGGCATGTTTATGGGACCTGTAAACTCTCATGGGACCTCTAAATTCCCATGGGACCTCTAAACTCCCATGGGACCTCTAAACTCCTATGGGACCTGTAAACTCCCATGGGACCGGTAAACTCAGTTAGAGCCGCGGAAGGTTCCAGTTCAGATTAAAGAATACTTCGAACAACGTTTCGACTTTTTTCCAATGCCTTCTCAGCAAAATGAAAAAAAACGAAATTTGGAAACTTTAGTATTGTCAATTCAAAACAATCGCGCGGATGAACGCACACACAAAGAAGTAAACAACCTGTCGAGACGCTCCGCCCCTTTTTGAGGCGCGGTTCGGCGTGCAAAGGCGCCGCACAGTTTTTTTCATGGATTTGTTATTCAAGCCATTTTTTGGTAATTTTTCATCAAATTTCGTTCGAATTTGAAGACAATTAGGCTATTTTGTGAAAAGGGGCGGAGCGTCTCGACAGGTTGTTTACTTCTTTGTATGTGCGTTCATCCGATTGATTGTTTTGAATTGACAATACATGATTATTTCTTAAATGAGGGAAGTAGGAGATTTCTCGGAGATTGTTTTTCAAGTTACGCTATAAATTTTGACGTGAAGGTGTACAGTCATTTTAGATCTCAAATTGGTCAGCGGGGCAGTATTCAATTTTCAAGCTTGTCGTTATCTTAAGACCACTAGTTCAAATTCTTGGTGTAACGAAAATGTTGGCTCCTTCGATCACTCTGGTAACCTAAGGTCCCAATACGAAAACTACCGTATTGCTAAATCCCGGCCTGGCCCGGCCCGCGGGCCAGGTCGAACCAGAGGAAATTTTCCCTGGGCTCGAAATAATTCAAACTTTTTTTGTTGATTTTGGATAAAACGTTCGAAATTAAGCCGAAGACCCTTCTCAAAGCTGAAAACAATAAAATTCTATAAAATTTTCACGAAATTCCAGCTTTATCTCAAAAATGACTCATGAAAAATTTTGCCTCAAAAACCCGGGTCAGTAAAAATATTAGAAACCGGTATCTCATTTTGAAGGTGTTTTTGTGTTTTTTTTTCGCTGTTTTGGTTTTAAATGGCATTTGCCGGTTTTTTTTTATTTTGCGTTCTCTATGATTTGTTTTTTTCAGTATACCCTAAAACAAGCTAGACTATGAAAGTTTTTTGAAAAATTGGTCAGGCCGTCTTGACTCGAAAAAACCTAAATGTGTGAATTCAAGGTGGCTATGAAACTCACTTTCGGGTCCAAGTCGTTACTGGAACTTTTCTTCAAGACAGTCAAAGCAGTTGAAGGTGCGCAATCGTTTACAAACTGTTCTTTTCTTCTTCTGTTCAATTTCTCTAGGTCTTCAAGATTCAATTGATCTAGAGTTTTAAGTTCATCCAAAAGGGCTTGATATTCTGGGAAGAGGAAATAGTTCATGGTCTGAAAATGAATTGTGTGTCTTGAAATAATAGTCAAGTTCACGTATCTTACCTCTGATCGCGAATCGTTATATTCCTCCTTTTCCACCTGTCTTTCTTCTTCCGGATAATTCGAAGAGCTTTTCGGCAATGTTTCCTTTGTCGTCTCAATGTCAGCAAACTGAAAAAACATAAATTAGGGAACTTTAGTACATGACTATTTCTTGAAGTAGGAGATGCAGGAGATTTCTCGGAGTATTTTTTCAAAGTTACGGTATGAATTTTAACGTGTTGCTATTATGCCGCTTCTAGGTTTGAAAGGTCGGCGGGGAATTTTCTAAAAAAGCTTATCGTTAAACCACTAGTTCAAATCCTCGGTGCTAGGAAAGTTTCGGTCACTCTGGTGACGTAAGGTGCCAATACGAAAACTACCGTATTCTGGAATTCATCAAAACGTGTGAGGATTATGACGTAGTGCGCGAAGAAAATTTGGCTCTTTCCGGAAAGAACGGTCTCAAAACGGGACCGCCGGTACCATCATCGGACCACCGGTCCCAAGAATTGCAACAACGGTCCCTTTGTTCCGATAACGGTCCCAATGTCCCGAGAACGGTCCCCACGTTCCAACAACGGTCTCAAGGGTACGACAACGATCCCAACCAGGCTTAATCTGGAAACCCTATTCCTGAAATACAGAAAAAAACGGAATGGTCTTAAAAAATCTTTTCTTGTATTGTAGGGCCAAAACGCCTTTTTCGGCACTGATGTGAGCAAGGTGTTTCAGTCTAAGCCTAAATTGATTAACCAAATGAACTCTGAAAAATTCCTGTTAAAAAGTACTGGAATTATTAAGTATCAGCAAAATGTTCGTTTTTGTTGCTGAAATGTGTTTCTTAGTTGAAACAAAAATTGCACGTTTTGATGTTTCCAATAGTGTTTCCAGATTAAGGGACATTGGGACCGTTATCGGAACAATGGGACCGTTATCGGAACTTTGGGACCGTTATCGGAACTTTGGGACCGTTCTTGGGACATTGGGACCGTTATCATTGTCGCAATTGGTTGGGACCGGCGGTCCGATGATGGGACCGACATTCCAGCTTTGGAACCGTTCTTCCCGGAAAGAGCCGAAAATTTTTGCTGATTAGAAGCCGGTATCTGAATTTGAAGGTGTTTTTATGCATTTTCGGATGATGATGTGAATGGCTTTTGCCGCTTCTTTTTCGAAATTTTTGCGTTCTCTATAATTTGCAATTTTTTAAAGATTAATTTTAAAATGATTTTGAACAAGTGAGACTATGGAAATTTCTAAAAATTGGATCAATGTTGCCGGGTTGACTAGAAAAAAAAGTACATCTCCAAATCCAACGTGACTAGAAAACTCACTTTCGTGTTCCAGTAAATTTCGCTTTCCTTCGCTAACTGTTCCCGCTGCAAAAAAAATTTGTGAGAATTTATTTATTATTATTGCAGTATGTCTCTTTTTTTAAATATTTATCTAGGGAAGGAAAAGGAAACACATGAAAAACCTTCAATGTAAGAGATACTGATGTGATTTTTCAGAGTGTTGGTAGAAAACCAATCGAATCACCAAGAAAAGTCATACGGAAATATCAATTTTCTGGGTTACTGTAGTTTGATGGCATTTCAGTTTGAAAATTCCTTCTAAACAAAATACAAACGAGCTACAAAACACAGCTTTTTTTCTGTTTCTTGAAAGCACTGGAAACAGTATATTATTTTCGAATTAATTTTTTTTGGAAATTCATTCAAAAAGCAACAGAAAAACTGGAGGCCCTCATTGCAATAAGTTTTCCATGTTTCTTGCCTCTAATTGCTCCTCGTTGTATCTCATCTGTTCAGCCCAACTGACTTCCTTCCAGTTTCCAATCAATTTATCGATTTGCTGGAAAAACGAATTTTTTTTTAATTACCGGGAAACTTGTAATTTTAGGCTCCCTTCAGTGAAAAGGCATCTCTAATAACAGTTGTATCCAAGCAGAACTTGGAAAAAATAACGCCCCTTGACTAGAGGGCGCTCTCAAAATTTGTTGTTAAAAATTTCCAATTTTTGCCTGTTTTCAGTGAATAATGTTTCACAGAATTTCGTTTTCGCTCGAAAACTTTTTCATTTTTCTTAAATTGCTAGATTATCGTGAGTCTGAACGATATTTAATATTTTTTCAATCAAAAATTGTGGAACAAATAGACGGAGAATTAGAATGGCCCCCTGGAGGTACCTTGGAACAATTGACGTCCTTCTAATAAATTTTTTACGGAAAAAATAATTTTTACAGTACATGTTGAATTATTGTAGAAAAAATGTCTTGATTCACAGTAAAATCTGAAATAATGCGCCTTGTCGATCTATTTTTTGGAAGGTTGCTTTGAAATAATGCGAGGTAACAAAAATTGGTTTTTTGCTTTATTAGCAGAGTAGAAATATATGCAAGTGGGCCTATTGGTAAATACGGTTCCTATAAGTGTGGTCTTTTCTACAGGTAGTGTTATATTACAGTTTTTACGGTATACGGCTTTTACAAAGCATTTTAGCGAGGATTCAGAATAATGGATTTCTGAATCAGAAGACTTACGCTCAGGTCCAAACCTTCTTTGAATTGATTTTCCAACTTGATCGGGGCAGCAAGAGAGCTGTATTTGTCATCAATACTCTCTAGAATACGTTTGAACTCCTAGAATAAACAATTTTCTGGCTTTTGAACTGTATGGCAAAAAACTTGAGGTCTTCACTATTACCTGGTTTGGCTCTTTCTTTAATTCAGCCTTCAATTCTTTCAAGAAAGCCGTAAGAGCTTCAGAGAAAGAATCTTCTTGTTTCCACGAAGTTCGTTCTTCTTCAGTTTCAGAAACACATTGGTAGTCCTGTTCCGTGGCAATTGCTTTCCCGCACTTCTTTTGAAAAATCAAATTGATCAAATGAATGGACTTCAAGCCAAGTATCTGGAAACTTTGGAGATATACATATTAGATTCAAACATTCTAGTTTTTACCTTGAGCGACCTAGCAATGGCTTGCAATTGTTTCTCGTCTTTTCTTTCCTTCTGATTTTCCAATCCTGCGATTGTCACGTCAAGCAGGATTCTCTCTGCTGGCAACAGTTCGTCCAGCTTTAGATGGTTGTTAGCAGCTGACATCTTGAAATGGTGAGATGCCACCAATTACCCTGCAAGCTTAGAATTAAAGAAAAATGGCAAACTTAAAATGAAAGTGAATGTAGGATTGAAACAAAAAGGTATGACAGCGTAAAAAACGCATTAAAAAGGTGGAAAAGAAATAAGCAAACGACATAAAGTGTGATAAATTTTATTGAAATTGATACAGTACAATTTCAAGATGCCACAAACTGAAAACTGGCAGAATTCATATAAAAATTGGATGGATTATGAAAAATCCAGGATGAAGTTCTAGTTGAAGATCGGTGTGACATCTCTTGATCTCCTCGGAATTTCTCGGCAGATTCTGTCAGCAAATATGTCGTCTTTGTAGTTAGTGATGGTCATTGGAGACCTCTGAAATGAAAAGAAACTATAATATATCTTCAAAAACTTTGTTTTTTTCTGGCTAGGAGAGCTTTTTACAAAACTTCTTGCCCTCTCCAGATGAATTTTTTGCTTTCTTGACATCAGCCAAACTTTTGAAACTTCATTTAAGAAAAACCACCATTACCAAGAAATGTTTTTTTTTCGGGATTTTTCTAGATTTTTACTATTTCAATGTTTATTAACGGGGAAAACTACCGTAACCAAAAAAAAACATTTTCATAATATTGCTTCATTTTACTAATTTTGACGATCCTTTTCTTTTTTCTCTACATATGAGTCCGGAAATAATCAAAGTTGTCGGAAAACGAACGAAAGTTGAAAAAGTTTAACCAGAGAAAACATAATTTCAGGTTACGGTAGTTTCCATCATCCTATCTTTGGCTACAGGAACACAGCGATGCTCACTGCTCCGATGAGAATGCGGGTGAGGTTTTAGCCAACTCTTATAAGAAAATTGTAGTCGAATAGCATTTCTAGTCCAAAAGTTATATAAAATGTGGCCGGTTCCGGCAGAAGCTTTGGACATATTTTCTAAATTCAGTTGAAAATACATTACACAAATCCAGATAATCAATTCTCAATTTTCCGTTTCAAACTTTTGTAAAAAGTAAATTTTGCCTGGAACTTCGACGAGCCATAAATCAGCCATTCAGCGAATTTCACAACTAGCTCACCTCACGCATTAAGTTCTGAAAAACATATTGCTAGGTTACTGGTGGTCTTACAAAACGTATTTTTGGTCCTAATACGCTCCATGCTCACCCCAAAGCTGACAGAGTACAGGGTGAAATGTAAAATACAGGGTGGCTTTTAATTACCCGCGCACAACTTTGGCGCCCATGGTTGTCGCTGCTGGCGCGCATATAGTGCAGCAAATTTTTTTATTGATTCATTGATTCATAATTGATATGTTTGCCAAGTTTCAGCCGTATTGTTTGAGTTTTCAGTAAATGGCGAGACCTAACGTTTACCATGCCACTGTCATCAATCTTTTAAAGTAGGTCATCAGTCGAAACAAAATCTTCAAACGCATTGGTACTGCCGACATGCGTATGTTTTGGTTTTTTGTCTAAAAGATAGCCCGAAAAAAGCTTGAATGCTATTACTCAAGTTGCAAATTACACATATCAAAGCGTCCGTATTACTAAGAAAATGTATATCGAGAAATGTTTAATACGCATCTGTTCTTATGGACCAAATCTCATTGTGGACGGGAACATTTGATTTACCAGCATGGCGGAGCTCCAGCCCACACCGTCCTAGAAAACCTGAGGACATTATTTTTCACAAATGTAACAGTCTAATGATTTCCGTTTAAAAACTTGCGCAAATATTCACTAACCGAGGATTTCATACAATGGGAGATAAGCAGTCTGTCAGTTCGTTGCTTGTAGTAGCAGAACTGCTGAATCCAAATCTGTCCAACCATTCTTGAAGAATCCTTTTCTGATTGAACTGCATGGCTCGGAAGCAGCTGAAACATTGTTGTTTTGAGAATAAAAATCAGACATTTTGTACCTGTAGATGATAGTCTTCAAAACGAGTTGTCTGGTCGGTGATAAGATCGATTGGTGTTGGGTAGACCAACGAGGGTCGGATCAAACGAATCGACGTTGCAAACTTTGAGATGATAACCCGAACGCCAATGAGGATGGGGAGCTTCTCAGTAGTAGTGTCGATTGCCATGCTGTAGTGGTAAATTCTTATGATGCTCATTGAAAGATTATGCATATATGAGCTAATCAATGGATCATGCTGAAATCAAAAACGTTACATTTCAGAAAAATACCGGTAGAATATTACCTTTTTCGGGTGTCATGATGACTGTTTTGCATTTGCCGCTGTCCGTTCACCGTCCTTCTTTGACTGTCAGTGTCCGTTGTCCATGGGAAAAATCGGGCCTTTTCCGTGGGGGAAAACTTGTCCGTGGTCCGTAGTGAAACTTTTGTTTCAGTCGGCGGCCGACAGGCGACCAAGCTGACCGAATCAGTGCATTTGCGCGTCAACATAAAAGTTCGTCGACATTTTTACGATCAAATGCCTGATTTCGGTCAGCTTGGTCGGCGGTCGGTCGGCTGGGTTTGCTGTCGGTCGACCGGCTGAATTGATCCGTATTGATCCATTGTCCGTCCGTCGTCGTCGGATAAAATTTTTCTCCGTTGTCCGTGTGAGGAGAAAAATTGGTCCGTTGTCCATTGCCCGTTTGTTGTTCATCGGTTGTCCATCCCTTGTCCATCGAAACAAATTTTTCTCTGTTGTCCTCGAGAGAAAATTTCGTTTATTGTCCGTCCGTTGTCCGCTCGTTGCTTTCGCAACAAATTTTTCTCGGTTGTCCATGAGAGAAAATTTTGTTGGTTGTCCGTTGTCCGTCCACCGTCCATCGGTAGTCCATCCCTTGTCCATAGAAACAAATTTTTCAGTTGTCCTCGGGAGAAAAATTTGCTGGTTGTCCGTTGTCCCTCCGTCGTAGCCGAAACAAATTTTTCTCGGTTGTCCAGAAAAATTTGTTGGTTGTCCATCCGTTGTCCGTTCGTTGTCGTAGCAACAAATTTTTCTTGGTTGTCCATGAGAGAAAAATGTGTTGGTTGTCCGTCCGTCGTAGTCGCCGCAACAAATTTTTTTCGGTTGTCAATCCGTTGTCCATCCGTTGTTCATCTGTTTTGGTGAAAACAAATTTTTCTCAGTTGTCCTCGGGAGGAAAATTCGATTGTTTTCCGTTGTCCGTTGTCCACCCTTTGTTCATCGAAACGTCATTGGGACTGAAACCATCAAACATTTACAGATGTACCTGTGTAGGAATCATTCTATCATACCTCTCAAATCCGTTCGAACCGTACAACGTCGTCACAAGCAATCTTTGTTTCTGTCCATTGGATAACTCTATTGTAAATGTTTTCGAAGCCTATATTGGTTTGATGAAGGGGTCTTCCAGCCATCTGTCCCGTTTGCGAATTTAGATTGATCCGGATTCGTGACATACTTTTTGAAATCCGCTAGGCCTACCTGTAGCTGCAGAGGAAGAACTAGAAAATGACAGAAAGTTTTCGAGATTGCCTGGCTTGAGATCGTCCGGCTTCATAGAATTAAATGTCGAAAACTATTGATGGGTCCGAGCAAATAGGGCAAGGAATCTTCCTCTCATTGCTCAAGATAGGCCCACATCACCGATTTTCGACACTTCTCTCGCCATCTTTTTTATCTGTAAAATTTGTTTATTTACTGTTTTCAGTATATTATCCTACTGTTTCAACATTTTTTACAAAACTTTCGCGCCAACCTAATAGTTCTCATAGATCAGCGAAGCAGTGTTTTTTTAGTTCCTCTCGTTCTTCTATATTTCTTTCCAATTTCCGAATTAACTGATCGACGAAGCCATCTTGATTCGGAGATTACGTCTATCAGCCTTCTTCTGGTGTGACTTTTGGATCATCAGGAACACTCATTATCATTGGTAGCCGAAATCTCCTGAAATAGGCCTCTGTCGGATCAATAATATAATTTCTGAGCGAGGATTGTCAGCAAATTACAACTTGAAGTAGTGAAAAAGATACTTGAGCAAGTCGGAAACGCACAAATAAATGAGCAATAGAGTTAAGAAAATATACAGAACTTCATTAATACAGAACACTAAATCAATACGAAAATTTTAATAGAACCATTATTGTTTCAATCAAAAACTACATTTTGGAAATGCAAATCAAGCAAGAAGGGACAAGGGACAGGACAAGCTAAGCATTTTATGTCTATGTAGAAAAATTGCGACTACTCTAAGCGTACAATACAGAAGCAATTAGCACAACAAGATAATAATTTTCTCTACCGTCTCTCAATCCCTAATTTTTTGGGGAAAAATGAGATTTGGGAGAGAAAAACTACCACATACAAAAATGAAAATGGACCAGCCGAATAAAAAAAGCAAATCAAGCGCAGAGGATACAACTAAAAAGCATATTCTACAAGAAAATACAATACAAGAAAAGTGAGCAATACCAGATATCTGCCTACAGATTCAAATCAGATGTGCGCCTCTTTTCTCTGTCGTCTCTCAATTTCCTTCACTCTCTACCCCGGAAAATCTCACTGGCGCATTCCAGGAGACCGGAAAATGCGCCAAGGCCAGGAATAAACGTTCTTGAAGAGAACAGACGAGGAAAAAAAAACGAACGAAGGGAGAGGCTAAGTTGAAAGAACAAAATTCTAGAATACAATGAAATTATATATAACGTGTGGGTTAGGACCATACGGATTTTACAAAGAAATTTATCAAATTATCCGTCGAAGCAGAATCCCTTTGGAGCAAAAATTGTTGAACACCCAAGAATTTCATCAATTTCTCCGTCCAGCTGATGGTCCGGAAGCCGCGGCATGCTCCTGAAAATAGAAAGTTCAAAAAATCGACTGAAAAAATAGAGAAAGCTTAGCTCTACCGGCGAGTGGGTCCTTTCGGGAAAAACGCGTATTTTCAAAAAAGTTGGGTCCTTTTCTGAGAGCGGGGGGGGGGGGGGGCATCAGGGTCAATAACAACCGTGATAGTTTGCGCTCATTCATTGTTATCATTTGATTTGATTTAGCGCATCCTTGGCGCATCCTATCAATATCCCGAAAATGAACATTTGCATCAACACAGTGATCGAATTAGTTTTTTCAGATCAGACATTGTGCGTTCCTTTCGCAAGGTGTGCGACCTATTCATCTCGATGTTATAACCTCTCGGTTTTATCTTCTATTTTTATGAATACCGTATTTCCTCTAATAGAAGCTCACCTCTATTTGAAGCCCACTTCTAATAGATGCCCATGTACTTTTATTAAAGACTATGGTAATTCAAAATTTCTGAATTTTCGGAACTGTGATTTTAGACATTTTTTAGGATTTTTTTTCGGAATTTCAGAATTCCTGAGTTTCGAAATTTGTGATCCTGAAATCTCAGCATTTCATTAATTCAGAATTTTGAAATGAAGGATTGCAAAATGAAAATTTCGAAATTTTCAAAACACTGAATTTTGAAATTTTCCATTCCGAACTGTCAAATTTCTGAATTTCGAATTAAAGGTAGGGGACAGGAGATTTTACGGAGGATTTTTGGACCCAGAGTATGTATTCTGCTTTAACGGTGTACAACGCTTAATGTCACTCTGCGTACAGATGTCGTCCTCACCCTTATGTTTATCATTGTGCGCCCGCTCCTCAAGTCCCCTCACCTTTAAGACGTTTTTAAGAATAAATGATTGAAAAATAGAAGCCCATCCTGAGAAAGTAGTTTAAAAAAGATCTTGGGCTTCTTTTAGAGAAAACACGGTATCAACAAAAGACCAACAAAAGAGAATAAAATAGATTCGGAGGTTCTTTGTGAACATGGTACCACGCAGATTGTATGCATAAACTTGTTGGTGAAAAAATACTTCTCGTTCGTTACGTTGCTTTCTGACATTATACAGTGCTCCACATAATGATATGGTCACTTCTAATTTTTTTTTTTTCGAGGCTTTGTGCGTCACCATCTCAATGTCTTTGTAGTACCGCCTCCCAAAATGCGGGCAATTTTTTTCTAACGATCGTTATTCTTTTTTATATATGGTCACCATCTGACTTACGGAGACCTATTCTTAGGGGTTTCAACGATGAAACCTTTACTGAAAATGATTCTGGAAACCCCATTTTTTTTTGAATCTCTATTTGATACATGTACCCCCAGGAGTTGTTCCTCACTACTGTAGAACAGATGTTCAAAGAAGGATGGAAAATTCACAGAGTGGCTTTTTGGTAATCACCCTGAAGGATACGTTTCAGTTGTTCACATCTTCTCTAGGTGACTGACAGTTTCAAATTTGAAAATAAAAACAGAATTCAGATACGACGTACATCTCATATTGGAGAGTTTGTATACCAAATTCTATAAATAATTTTGTATACAGAATCGTTGACTCTGCCGATTATAAAAACAGTAAAACAACCCAAGTGTCCCAATGCCCAGTGCCAGGTTGTCTAGGGTGGGGGAACACTCTCTGGGCGGCCTGTTGCTATCACCGAAAGGTGGACGCATGTCCAGTGTTCAAGCACATGACGCGAAAGCGACAGGTGAGAAATTTAAAATTAATCTGAAAATACAAACACGCTTTCCAGGCCCCTTATCCAGAGGGGATTCCATACACCACACCGTCCTTTCACCCAATCCCACACCCAACCTCACTCTCCAACATCGTCGCCGCCGCACCAGTCGCCCCAGCCCCAATCAATCCGATCGTCGCCCCAGCTCCAATCAATCAAGGCCCACAGCTCGTTGTCCCCGCCACGATCTGGCAACAGGTAAACAATTGAAAAAATTCAAAAACTTAAGTGCTTCTTATAGATTGTGGTAAATCCCGCACTGACACAATACCTCATCAGCATTCTGGAACCAAATCAACACACCGAGGACAACGGAGCACTCACCAACGGAGGCCTCACGGAGAAGGAGATCAAACAAGAGTCGCCGTTTTAATTTCTCCTATACATTCTTATTACAATCTGAATAAATTTTTATTACATAAACAGTGTCTAGAAAATCATCTTGAAAAATATCCAGAACATCGCCAAATTTTTTGAATCTGCCAGAAACTCGAGCCCTCCAAAATTTTTGAATCCACCAAAATTACAGAGTCGTCAAAATTTTTGAATCGGCCAGAAATTCGAGTCCGGCGACTCCAAAAAAAATTCAGTTGAGGATAGTCTGGGTCAATTAAGGATCAGCTCATTAAGGATCAGCTAAGGATGAGAGAGAGAGAGACGCAGAGAAAGCGAGAGACGGTTAGAGAAGCGAGAGAGTGTACGCAGACGGTTACTTCTCTTAAATGATTGCTTCTCTTAAATGATTGTGCATTTTGCGGAAAGAATCATTTTTCCGACAATTGTGGGATAGTAGTCAACTCCTTGGATCGCGAAGACGCACTCGAACGAAGTGCACGATGCAGACGTTGCTTGGATATCTTCAAGTATGGTCATGGAAAGAAATGTCGTCACACACCCACTTCTACGTCAGAGACTTCGATTTGCAGCACCAATACTCTTATCGATGTGCTGTAGCCGGAAGCTGTGTTTCAGCAACATGCAGCATGACGTCTTTGCAAGATCAAATCAAGGAATTGAGTCTTTACGCGAAGAAGTCGCCTGGATACACCGAATGTTTCGAAGGATGCGGATGTAACACTTGTGGAGGATGCTTTCAATGTGATTCAAGTTGTCTCTTCAACAGAGTCTACGCCACGAACAGGAAAAAAATGTGAACGAGATCTTCCCGTGCCCATTATGGGCAACAATGGTCTACATCACTGTCAGTCTTGGAAGCAATGTCTGAAATGAAGAACTTCACCATGGAGTGCCGTACAAAATTCCAAGGACAAACATCTCTCTAACAATCACTGGTTTTTCGACACCACCTTCCCCCATTTGTGGCGCCACATTCATCAAGAGAAACAAAAATCACAACAAGAACCAGATTGGATACTCGCACACATCAGTGGCACAGAGTGGATATTCATCAAAAGGACTCATTGGGGAGCTACAATGTGCTACGAAAATCGATGCCGCCAACTTCAGCTGCCACTTCGACGAAAGTTTGTGTACCTGCATTTGCCAAGGAACATACGTTGGCTGTCTATGCAAACGGATTTCACTCGAGAACATTGTACGCAGAACATCACTTCCAAGGGGCACATAATTCTGAGGGTACAATAATTCGGGGGTACAATGGGGTACGAAGTGATTTAGGGGCACAAAATTCACAATTCGGGGTACAAAACTAAGTATTTTGTACCCCCGAATTGAAGATTTTGTACCCCTAAATTGCTTTGTACCCCAATGATCCCTAAATTTTTGTACCCTCCGAATTATTTGCCCTTCCGAAGAGTGAAGCTTTCCATTAGCTCTTATCGTTCAACCCCCGCATCACTTTTGACGTCTCTCTGAAAATAACGCTCTCTGACTGAAATTCCTTAAAAACATTGTATCATTTCTTCTGACTCCTCATTGACTCATCCCAATATGAAGCTTATGCTTTATCAGTTATCAGGCATTCTTTTTCTCTATATTTTTTCTTCACTAAATTGTGTTCTTTTAATTGTAAATCTTGTTATATCCTTATACAAAACGGTTTAATTACCCGAGTTTGAGATTGTCACAAGGAAAAAATAAGCATTCTACCACAACCCAGCTGGATCTGCCCCAAAAGACATATACAGCACACCATTTTGAGCAACCATATACATGTAGAAAAGAACATTGCTGGATGGATTGAAATTTTTGTAAGTCAGTTGGTTTTAATGACAATCTTTTGCCCTGGATTACCGCAAAATTCCGTGAGCTATACATTTTGCGGTCGAAGAATGTTTGTACAGTTTTCAGAACACCACCGACAGCAATCCGGCACAATTATCTTCTAAAGCTTCAATAAATGGTTTTAATTGAACAATAACCGCCCCAGTAGTCGTCTAGTCACAAAAATGTCACAGTTGTTGTCGACCCTGATAGGATCCCCACAATAATCCTAGATGAGCCCCTCTATTAGAAGGGCTCTTCAAAAAGGGCTTGGAAAAATAGAAGGGCCCCAACTCGTTTAAAATTAAAAACTTCTGTACGTTTCCAGGGAAAAATGTGAAAAATGTCCAGTGGAAAAAATAATAAAAATAGGGACCCTCTTTAATTGAAAAGACCCTGTAATAGAAGAAGCGGCTTTTCTAACCCAAGTTTTACGGTATATAAAAATTCCACATCAACTAACCCGATGTGGTCCCATTTGTGGCACTGATCGATTTGGCTGTGGACGACGATTGAAGCGGGCTGGAGGAACTCTAGCACGAGCCGTGGAGGTATTGGCAGTCGTCGCATTTCCTGGAGACGTTTCTCTTGAAGTGTATCCAGTTCCAGTGCTCTGAAAATAAAAATGATTTGAAAGTTTCATAATTTTCAACCCACCGATGAAGCAGTATCCTCATCTGGCAAACGGAAGTTTCGTGTGTTCATTGGTTTTAATAGCGGCGACACCGACTGCATGGTCAATGGACCGTTCCCAAAAAACCCACTAGCCAATTCGACTCCACCGTTTATAAGCACCTGAGGTGGATTTTGGTGGAAGATGTTGGTGACACCGACATTGTGATGGAATGGTAGACCGGAAAGAGATGAGGTACGATCTTCCGATCCGACAACATGAAGCTGTAACCAAGTACTGAAATTTCAGAAAAGAAAACTCAAAATTCTTACTTGCAGTGAAATAAGGTCCACATTAGCTCCAACAAACATTGAACTTGTCAGAACTTTGCGAACTTGAGTAGAAAGATTTGCCACCACTGCTTCGATTGTCTGAAAAAGATCAATTGGAAAGAGGAAAATTCTGAAAAATACCTGATCGAGTGTTGAAACAGGATAATTTTCATACTGTTCTGGAATCACCAATTGTGGAACCTGTTGGTAAGCGTATTGTGCGGGTTGTAAATGGTACTGTACCTAGAAATGAGGATTTTGAACATAGTTTGGTTTTGTATTAAGGTTTTACTTGCTGGTAAACAGGAACCTCTTGAAGGTGATATGGCACATAGTTCATCACACCTTGACCAGGCACGTAAATTTGTACTGGCTGGAAAATGGGTTTTTTAAAGATACAGTACAAGACAAAATTATATATTATTCGGCTTTGTTCCAGTTCAGGGTTCTCAATATTAAGGGGACCCTGAAGATTAGGAGTCTCACAGCCAAAATGATTTATAATATAAAGAAATTTTGGTTTTTTTCAAACGTTTTTCTTCCTATTTTGGAATCTGTTTTTAATAATTCTAAAAATTTTTTATTAGCTTTAAAATTACACATTATCTTGACTTATCTGCTTGACTTTTATGGTGCTTTATTACTTTTCAGTGTCTTCCAATTTTTGAGCAAAATTGGTACCTGATCAAATCCTGGTTGACGAACATACTGCAGCTGCATTTGGGGCTGTGGAGCATAAGCCGGAACACCATAGATTGGCACCGCTTGTACTGGCGGTTGATACATCACCGGATGGTTTTGAATAATACAGTGCTCGCATTCTTGTTGATTATGGGGACCAATCTGAAATCACATGAATCAGTACACCTTATATTTCAAGAATTTTTTTGATTTTAAAAAATTGAGGCTTGAGATTTCCAAATTGTTAGGAATTTTATACACACCATAACATCTGGAACGTAATGTAATTCATCATCGCCTGGTAGTGGTGCTGGCTGGGCTGGTGGATGTTGAGCAAACTGTAAGTCAGAATTGGAATGATTTTAACATTTCAAAAATCACTACCTGCATTGGAACGTTACACAGAACATCTGGATATTCCAAGAGCTGATTGTTTTGTTGTGCTGGATCATTTGATTTCTCTGACGCCGCTGGGCTGGTGTAGACAGAAGAGACGGATTTTGGAACCGGTGGAATGTTGGAAATCTGAAAATTGGAAGAATTATAGGTCTAACTTTTAAACTTGAATTTACCTGTGGTTTTCCCTTCCCTTTACGCTTCTTAGCTGTTCTTTTCTTTTTTGCTGTCATCTTGACTGCAGGCTGATGGTTCTTGTTCACTGGAGCTGGTTTGGATGGTCCAGGAGCCCCCGTTGCAGGAGCAGAGCTAATATTTGCCGCCGAAACCAAATTCAATTTTTGGATTGTAAGATTTTCATTTTCTGTTTGCGGATCTGCAGGATCTGCATGGTCTTCCAGCATTGGGTCAGGTTTCTCAGCTGAAGGAATGTGAGACGCAGCCTCCAACCAAACACCAACCGACTGACGTTTTTCTATCACTTCCATTTTGCACTTAATTAGGAACAAATCTTGCGCAGTCACTCCAGGAATCTAAAATTGCTAGAAATTGGATTATCAATATAATAAATTTGGTTTCGATGACATATTTTTTGATTGAAGTTAGGATATCCGGATCTAAAGTGATTTTGAAAAGATTTCTCGTAACAAAAAATGACTTTCTAACATACCGCCAGTCTTTCAGCTGCTTCCTGCAAATCCTGGTCCACAATTTTCCTTGCCTCACCATGGACACTTATTTCTTGTTCCATACGTTTTAGTTCTTCCTCAATTCGGTGATAGTTCTTACTGTAGAGAGCTGGCTTGCTTGGTTTTGAATATTTCCTCATCAAAGTTTCAGATGTTCCACTGGGTTCGGCAGTCTGAAGATGTATATATAGAACAGATGTCTAAAGTATGAAATGATTTTTTTTTTGATTGGAAGAGATGAAACATCAAATGAAGGTTTTCACAGCGAGTCTGGGATTTAAAGGTCTGTTTTTTATAAATTTTTCTTCAAAAAAATACAAAGAAATTCTGAATTTTCAAATCTTTTTAAAAATGTGGGAAAACCGGTGCCGTCAGGCCTCGCCCTGAAAGTCCCGGTTTTTTACTTTGATTGTTCAAACAACTCACAGTGGGACCAAACTCGGAAAAATTCACGTTTAATGAGCAAAATTATTATTTTGTTAGTTTAAGTGTTTTACGGGTTTTTCGATATTTTCGGTTCAAATTCGGTTCAAATCAAACTACACCGTATTCTACCATTTGAAAAATATGTTTTCACAATTTTCTTTTTTTTATTTCAAACTTACCATTTCCTTCCGCTCATCAACGAGACGCTTCAATTCTTTTTCGATTTGATCTTTGTTGTCTAGAGCTGATTTGCTTGGTTCATATGACTTTGGCACCGATGTTCCAGATGTTTCACCGGGTTTGGACATCTTTAAAACCACGTGGCAAAATATACAAGAGGAGGTAAGACGAAAAGAGAGAGAGAGAGAGAGAGAGAGAGAGAGAGAGAGAGAGAGAGAGAGAGAGAGAGAGAGAGATAAGAGAAATAAACAGTTATAGATATACGAGCGCGTAGTGAACGCGTGAAAATTAGAAAAAATATATAAGAGGGCAAAACCCTCCTAAAACTTTATGTATTTATTTTTCAAGAGTGAAAAATTGTAAAAAAGAATACAACAGAAGCAATTTGATTAATAAAGTGTGGAATGGAGAAATCGTCTGCTTCTAAACCAAGCATTTTTTTGAGATTTCAGACATAATTTGGTGGAGCCGAGATCAACAGAACAGTGAAGTAACACCAATAACTGCATTCAACTAACATCACAGTCAAATCTGTAGAACTATGCACTTGGGAATAAACAAAGGAAAACAGAAAATTAGAATAAAATAGGTTATGCAATAAAGGACAAAAACCATCACAGTAATGTAATTCGATATGCCTACAAATCTGAATTTGACTATATCAACCATTTCAAAAGCTGGAGTATCATTAAAGAAAAGAAAGGGTCATGGTGGATAAGATGTTTTAAAGCTAGACGGTTTTTTACTAAGTGGTGTGTTTTGATCATCAAAAAGAATTATGAAAATATAGGAATTTCCACAAAACAAAAACAAAGATAAGATTAACAATGAAAATTCTCAAGCGAAACCTAAAGAGAAGATCCTTTCGATTGTACAAGTGTATGGTAGTCGGAAAAGTCTTAAAAAGAAAAATAGTCGTCGAAAATTAAAGTTTTTTCTGATTTTTTCATTTATCTGGATTCCTGTAAAAGATATCGAACGTTTGTCAACAGATACCGTATTTCCTCTAATAGAAGCCCACCTTCTAATAGAAGCCCATGGGCGTCTATTAGAGGAAATACGGTGATCAAATATTTCAGAATTTTCGAAACTGGTATTTTAGAACTTGAAAATTTCTTAATTTCTGATCTACAGAGTTCCTGAATTTTGAATTTTGAGATTCTGGAAGCTCAGAATTTTATAAATTCCGAATTTTGGAGTTTAGAATTTGCAGAATAAATACTTCGAATAAAAAAAATCTCGAAGTTCAAAATTCTTAACTTCCGAATTGCCAATTTTCTGGTTTTTTGAACAAAATTTTTTTGAAAATTAATCATTGAAAAATAGAAGGCCGCACACTAATTGAAGCCCACCTTCTATTAAAAGTGCATGGGCTTCTATTAGAGGAAATACGGTAAATTATTTGTTGTGTTATGATAATTAACTTGTCAGTTGACATGTTTTTGATTTCGAGATAATTCAGCGCAAAGTTAACAGCTTGGCGGGGTTCTATAGGAGGAAATGCGGTCATGCTGCCTAGAATGTCCTTGGTTAATCATCCTCTGGCAAATTATTATTCTCTTCCGCTTGTTGTTGTTCCTCCTGTGCTATTTGTTCCTCCTGAACCCGAAAGAACTCTTCCATAACGTCACCATCCTGAATTAATTAATAGTATTACTATTGCCTGATTAATAGTGTTACTATTATCTTTCAGTTTTGCTGGCCTAGAGCTAAAATCGACTACAGACTTTTTAGAGCCTAACAGGATAAGCTTCGGAGATGGAAATGTTATGAGGCCGTATTCATGAACATTTACCTTTAGGTAAATAGAACGTGTAAATGATTTACAAAGAGGAAAATAGAGTGATTGGTATTCATGAAAGTTTGGTAAAAGAAAGCATTTTCCTTCAGATTTACAGTGATTTTTCTTTCACGTCACTGAGATTTTCTTTTTCTTCTTAATTTTTCAGTGATAGTTTTGTGTAAATATTTACTCCTGTAAATCGATTAACCAAAAAATGGATTTACCGTATTCACAAAAGGATTTGCTCTAAGTAAATATTTACTCTTGTTATATGTGAGGAAACAAGAATGATTCTGTGTTTTTTATCAGTTATTAACACAATTATGGCAGATATGACAAAAACTAGAACTTAGAACTTAGGGTTTGAAAGAAATATTCGAATCTTGGACATAGCTAGAACTCAATTTGGCAATTCACTTTTTTTGTTGCCTATCAGCATCCCTTCTCTTTGGAAACGATAAAGAATAGTTGCATTGACTTAAAGACAGTTATAGACCACCTCTAGAAATCGTCCAGAAAAATAAAAAGTTGAGATTATTTAATGTTGGTCAAACTTAAAAATTTAATTAAAACGGTCTAGAAGTTCTCAGAAAAAGACTAAATTTTGAATTTCGTTAATTATAGAAATTACTTTTTGGGGGTATGCAATTTTTTTTGATTTTTTTCTCATTAATTTTATTTGAACATATTATATTTTTTCATATTATTCTCAGTTTCATCAAAATTCAAAGTTTTAGTTTCAAAACTTAAAATTTAATGTATTGAGTTTATGAAAATAGTAAGGTAAATATCATTTTCCTACCCCCAATGTTGGTAAATAAAATCAAGTGAGTAAATCATTTATCAATAGGAAAATAATTTTCATGAATACCAATCACGTTATTTTCCAATGTGTAATTCGATTTTCCCATTAGAAATTTTAAAAAGTAAACGTAATGTTTTCCTTTCGTAAATATTTTCCTTGGTAAATGTTCATGAATACGGCCTCTGGTAAAACACAAATGCCGTAATAATCAGTTAAAATCAATTCAATGTTAAATTTCAGCTTTTAATTGTAAAAGTTTACCTCAAGTTCTAGCTCCTGAACCGGATTTGGATCATTGTTCTCCTGGTTCTCCTGGTTCTCATCAACTACCGGATCAACTGGCTGCTGATCTCTGAAAATCATTATGTTCATCCTGCGGTCGAAATCGTCAAGTCGTTGCATTAAACGGGGGTTTTCTGCCTGAAATATGTTGGAAGCTCAAGAATTCTCCGAGGAAAAAACTGACCAGGCGAGCAGCAATTGCATATAAGCGATTGATGTGCTCTTCAGATAGACCAAACTCGTCCATGAATTGACGAATGAGCCAATCGTCCATTCCTCTGTCGATTTTGTCTCTGGAATTTTACAAATTAGTGATGCTTAAAATATAGGGATGCTAAAGTTAGAGGAAATTGGCCCAAACACAACATCAATAGATATCATAGCGTGGTGGACGCGTAAAAATAGAAATAAAATTATATAAAAGGCAAAGCCTTTCTAGAATATTATGTATATATTTTTCAAGAGTGTAAAAACGAAAAATGGAATACAACAGAAATAATTGAAAGGTGTGGAATGGATTAAGGACTGTTTTTATGCTGGAGATATTTCAAAATTTCAGACTCAAATTGATGAAGCAGAGTTGAACAGTGAAACACCATCAACTGCATTCAACTAAGATTGCAGTTTTTAAAATTTCAGAAATATGCCATTGCGAATAAACGAAAGTAAACAAAAGATTAGCCCGAACGAAAATAATTGAGAAAAACACGTTAGATAATAAAGCAAATAAATTGTACGCTGAAAACTTCTACAAAATAAAAGCAAAAATGAGATTTAAAAAATGAAATATTCCAAACAAAGCATATCGGGAAAAAACCGTTCAGATATTACAAAAAATACAGGTGGAAAAGCGTTTGAAAGAAAGTTAGTTATTGAAAATTACACCTTTCCTAATTTTCTCCATTATCTCCATTCCTGTGAAAGGTATCGATAATTCGTCAACTAATAAAATTCTGATGATGTTGACAATTTGTCGACATTGTTCACACGGATAGAGATAATTCAGCTCAACGTTGACAGCTTGAGTGTGTTTCTAAAGGAAGAAATACGGTAATGAAGCCTAGAAAGTCCTCTGATGATCATCCTGCGGCACACGATTGGCCTCTCCATGTGGAATCTCTTGCACAGTATCCTCCTCTACCTCATGTTGATGTTCTCGCACACTTGCAACATCTTCCATTCGGCGAAGTGCCTCCGCCAGATTGCGATGTTCCTCATGTAGAATACGGTTTAGCTCGATAGCTCGAAGAGCCTCATCCATGGCCTGACGTTCTTCATTTATACGATTAAGCTCGATGGCTCGAAAAGCCTCATTCATTGCCTGACGTTCCTCATTAACTCTGCGAAGTTCCTCGACCAGGCTGTGATTTTCCTCCCGCAGCATACGGCCACGCTCCTCCAACTCCCTTACTTCATCTGCCAATTGGCGCATAGCCGCGCCTGGTTCCTGAATTGATTAATAGTTTCACCATTGTCAAGATATACTTCAACTTTTCTGACCAAAATTGCTAAAATTGGCTATTTTTTAGAGCCTATCAAGTTTAGCGTTGGAAATAGAACTGTCCTGGTAGAGATCAAATGCCGTAAAATCAATTCGATGCTTAAGTTGAATTTTCCATTCAAAAAGTTTACCTGAAGCGCAACTCTCTGTTCCCAATTCGGATCATTGTTCTCTTGGTTTTCACCAAATACGGGATTCACAGGTTGTTGATCGAGATTGTCAAGTTCCTGCATCAAACGGGGATGTTGGCCGTCTTCAAGCTGAAATAACATTTTGAAGCTCAAGATATGTCTTTAGGAAAAAAACTGACCAAGCCTGCAGCGACTGCATATAAGTTATTGATTTGTTCTTCAGGAAGACCAAACTCGTCCATGGCTTGATGAACGAGCCAATCTTCAATGCTTTTGACGATGGTGTCTCTGGAATTTAACAAATTAATAATACTTGAAGTATCGGGATGCTTAAGTGGGAGGAAATCGGGACAAACACAACATTAATAAATATCATAGCGTGGTGAACGCGTGAGAATTAAAAAAAAATAGTTGAAGAGGGCAAAGTCCTCCTAAAAGTATCATGTATTTGTTTTTCAAGAGCGAATAATTGAAAAAATAGGAATACAACAAAATCACTTGTTTGGTGAGAACAATAATGGAGACATGGTCTGGCCAATGAGTTTTTGATTAAGCATATTTCGAAATTTTTGATTGAAGTTGGGAACACTTACTTGTTAGTTGAACGAAACAATGAAAAACCAGTAACTGCTTTTTAGTGACATTTCAGTCATTGAAATTTCTAAAAGTATGCCGTTGAAAATGAAGACAAGTGAAAAAATGAACAAAAAAGTGAGCACAAGTAAGACAGAAGTTAGCCCGGACAAGAAAATTAGAATAAAGCGCGTAAATTCTACACAGTAAAATGATTCGATATGCCTAGAAATAATAATTGTGGTATGACAATAGTTTCTAAGGCAGGAGTATCATTAGAGTACTAAAAAGAGTCATGGACTACTGTAGGAGCTTTCGAAGCTAGAAAATTGAGATTTTTCAAAATGGTGTGCTTTGAGTATCGAAGAGAAATTCGCTATAAACTTCTGCACAACGAAACAAGAATGAGATTAAAAATAAAATCCATAAAACAGAGAATGATTCGTGAAATCAGACTAACAACTTACAAAACTGTGGCTATTAAAAAAAACCTGCAATTCAGAAGTTCAAACAAAAATGAAATGAAAAAATGATCTACAAAGTCTGAAAAGTTTGAAAACAATCAATTGTAAAATTTGGGTCATGAATCACAAAGAAAAATGGAGTAGGTTCCAAATTTGGGAGTGTCGAATGTGGAGGATATGTATCCAGAAAGAGAAAGTCGACAAATAGTTTCAACAATCAAGACTTGTGGTTTACGGGCGAATGACGTTGCCATCGTCGGCGTTGTCGGCATCCGCGTTTCCAGCCTTTCTTCCAATCTCGATTTTCATTGGGATGACAAGATTCTGAAATTCAATCAATGAATTATCAACAATAAAATGTTTTTGGCTTACCTGTCCAGCCTGTCGGCGCTGATTTGGGTTCTGAAGACGCCGCTGACGACGTTGAGCTTCGACCATCTGCAGCTGTGGATCTCGACGATTGCGAGCAAGAGCCGTGTTGCGGCGCAGGGCTTCCAATTTGCGTCGTATTTGTTGAAACCAGTGACGATCCTCCTGGAAAACACGCTGAGCTTCCTCGAAACCGTCTCAAATCTTTTGGAGAGCCTGCTCCAAGTTCCGTTGTTGCCCCTCCAACACCCTCATTTCCTCCCACAATTCGCGAATACGAGCGTCTTCGTTCTGAATTGATTGATAGTTTCGATATTGTCTACATATCCTATAACTATTAGGATTTTAAAATTTTCGAATATTCCGAATAATGGAATTTGGAGCTTTCGGAACTCCGTTCCGAACATCCCTGCTTTGCTGGCCTAGAGCTAAAATTGCATATAAAGTTTTGAGAACTTCAAAAGTTATTGTTTTAGGAATGAACTGTTGTGGTAAAGTTCAAGCGTTACAAAAAATCAAATGAATTCCCATTCTGAGCTCAATTCCAAAAGTTAAAAGTTTGAAAAGCTCACCATTTCCTGACCCAAATTTTCCGCCATTTGAGCAACATCGTCATGTTCGCGCTGCAGCCCTTCAAGTTCATGAACTTCGATCTGGAACATTTTCTGAAGCTCAAAAAGGCTATCTCGGGAAAAAACTCACGATGTCAGCCATATCGTCCAAAGCACCAACTCCCATTTGCACACCGGCAAGAAACCGCTTGTCCCGGGCTTGATGATTGGGTCGCTGGTCCATGCCTGAACGATTGGCAATTAAGACAAGCACAACATGAACAAATATCATAGCGTTGTTAGCGTATAAATGTTGAACCTAAACTGTTCCTTAAAATTAAATTTAGTTTATATACTCATTCAAAGAAATCAATTTCTATTAAACAAATTGAAATATGGGAGGGAAGGGAGATAATAAAATTTTGCGGGGGACAAAAAATGATGATCAACATTAAAACGGGGGAACCATAATTGAGTATCGAAAAAATATGCTAAAAACCCTGGAAACCAAAAAACCAGATAAATACGAGGTGGTGGGTTATACTGGTGGTTAGAAAAATAATTGAAAATTAGAGAGCTGTGAAAAATATTATATAAGCATATAAATTGAACCGAAAAACGAGAAAATATGACAGAAACCGGGGGGGGGGGGGTGAAAAGAGACGAATTTTTGACTATTAAAGAAGGAAACCCAAAACCCAAACCGAATATAACATTGAAAAAAGAAGTTCAGCGGAGATTAAAAATTTTGAAATGTTACGAAGACCTTGAGGAGGGAGTTTGAAAAATGGAAAAAAATTTGAATATGGAGGAATTGGAGGAAATGGAATATTGAGAAATTGGAGGATATGGAGCAAGTGGTGCAAGAGCTGTCAAAGATGTTAGGAAGCATTAACGTTGGTGCAAGATTTGAACGAAGAGCAACTTCTACATCTGAGGTGGGCGCTGCTGATTCGGAGGCATCTGCATCATCATAGGGTTAAAACCCATCTGTAAAAATAGTGGTATATTTTTGTCATTTAGAAAAAAACACAGATTTTTGGACTGTTGGAGACCGGAGGAACCACTCCTTTTTTTTTATATTTCGCATATTTGGAAGTGTGGAACCTCGTAACTTCAGGATTTTTGCAGCTTCGAAAAAATTAATTAGTCATGGAATTTAAAAAATTAAATTTTTCTTGGAACATTGGGTATCTTGAATTTTTGGCAAATTCAATATTCATCTTTAAATTTCGATAATTTGAAAATGTTGGAGTTTTGAACTTTTCCAATTTTCTTGGTATTCAGTAATTTTGAAAATATTGGAACTTTCAAGATTTTTACATTTGTTGGAATGACTTCGTAGCGTTGGAAATATTGGAATTTCGGAAAATCTCATTACAATTAGAAATTCGAAAAAAAATTGGATGTCGAAAATATTTGAAATTCGATAGAGTCAAGTTTGTCTTGGAATTTCGAAGTTTGGAAAATTAAAGTTTTGAGTTTCGAGAATATCGTGAGATCGACAAATACAATGTTTCTTAATTGAATTTTGACACTTTAGGAAAACTTAAATTTCATTTTTTGTGAAATTTTGATTTTTTCAATTGTTCTATCGGGAATTTTGAAATTTTGGAAATTTTGGATGTTTGCAAAAATACTTTTTTCTGGGAATTTTGTGATCTTGAGAATATTCGAATTTTGAGAATTTTGAAATCCCCAATAATTCTTATTTGGATTTTTGAGAATTTGAAATTTAGGCGAATGCAATACTTTTTAATTTCGGATTTTTGGAATTTCGAAAAAATTGGAATTTGTCAGGTGATTTAAGAACGAGTTTTTCGTTTAAAAAGTCACGGTGAACTAATTTGAGAGGTTCAATAATGACTGTTTCTTGTCTAAATTCATTACTGAAAACACTTTTAGAGCTCATGTTCCGATTTTTATTAAGAACGGGCCGAAGTTGTGCTGAGAAACCAATTTTTCAAGAAATTCTCAAAGATTGTCTGAAAACACCTCCCCTGATGCCTCTATTTCAATACCCCTGGGAGCATGGGCCGAGAACTTTTTCATGTTCGAAAACACACATTCACAAATTTTAAAGAAGCTATCACCTATTGTTCAAAAAAAAAACGATATCTTCTTAGGATATTATTTCAAACAACGTAAAATTTTAACCTACCTCCGGATATCCATTGTTCATCATCGGATTGGGCATATTCATATGGGCCATCCTCTGAAAGAATAGTATGCTTCTGAGAGAAATCAAATCTCGGTTATTCTACTACTACAAATTCTAAAAATTCAATAACGCCCAGCTTTTCCATCAAAAATATATCGAACTAGTTGGTAAGTTAGTAAGATAGTTATATTCAATAATTCAACATACCTGATCCTGACCGCGGTTGAACACCTGTTGGGTTCCTTGGTGGAACGGAGGAGCAACGCCTCGTTGGACCTGAAATCCGAAAATTTGCTGAATATCGTAATAAAAATATCTTACAGCTGCAAAATTCTGCTGCTCGAACCACTGCATCTGCATGGGATCCATTTGCCCTTGGTAGAACTGTTGCCCATGGTTCATGAATCCTTGATGTCCAAAATAATGTTGAGAATTCTGGACGTTATGCTGCTGCTGCTGGGCATTTTGAGCTCCAGGTTGCATCATTGCTCCTGTTTGGTCGTTACGTCTCGGAGCATCTGCCGAATCTCTTCTCGGTGGCTGTGGACGATGATGTTGTTGCTGCTGTTGTTGAAGCTGTTGTTGGCGATGCTGATGTTGCTGATGCAGTTGTTGTTGTTGCTGCCACTGGAAATACTGTTGTTGTTGCTGTTGTGGTAGCTGTTGTTGTTGCAACTGCCGCTCCTGCTCTACCCTCCTAGCTCCGGCTGGCATCAAATGGTCTTGTTGGATGGGATTCGGCTGTTGAACTGGGGCTCGGAAAACTTCTCCTGGACGGTGCTGATGTTGTTGCTGCTGCTGTTGGAACTGATGTTGTTCCCATTGGCGTTGCTGCTCTACATTCCTTGCTCCTGCTGGCATAACATGCTCCTGTTGGAAGGGATTCGGTTGTAAGGCTGGGGCTCGGACAACTCCTCCTGTTGGCTGTTGAAGTTGTTGTTTCTGATTCTGGAGCTGCTGTCTTTCCTGTTCAGTATTCATTGTGCCTTTTGGCATTATACCTCCTGCTAGATTCTGTTGGAAGGGGTTAGGCTGGTGGATGGGAGCTTCGACGACTCCTCCTTGACGCTGCTGTTGTTGGTGGTGGTGCTGTGGAATCTGTTGATTTTGATGCTGCAGTTGCTGTGGATGCTGCTGTTGTTGCGGCTGCTGTTGTTGTTGCTGCTGTTGTTGGAGCTGATGCTGCTGCCACCGCTGCATCGCATCTAAGGGGTTATTCGGAATTGGCTGGTTATTACCATTTCGAGCTTCGTTTGCTGCTGGTGGCTGCATGCGTTGTTGCAGTTGTTGCTGCTGTTGCAGATGTTGCTGCTGTTGCTGCTGATGAAGCTGTTGTTGTTGATGCTGCATTTGCTGCTGTTGCAGCTGTTGCTGCTGTTGAAGCTGATGATGATGCTGTTGAACCTGTGGATGTGGCCAACGCTGCATATTCAGTGGTTCCTTCTGCTGAGCCGGATTTGGCTGGTTATCACCATTTGGAGCTACGGCGGCGGCTGCTGGTGGCTGCATACGTTGTTGCTGTTGTGGTTGAAGCTGCTGTTGTTGAAAGAACTGATGATGATGCTGAGGTAGATCCTGGTAATGCAGTTGTCGGTGCTGATGCGCCTGCTGCTGCCACTGTTGTAGCCTGCGCGCATCCTGCTCTCTTGCCGCCATCCGTGGTACTGGTTCATTCTGCTGAGCCGCAATCGGCTGGTTGGCGCGATTTGAAGCGTCTCGAGCTCCTCCAGGTGTTGGCAGATGCTGGTATTGGCGTTGCTGCAGTTGCTCCTGGCGTTGCTGCAGTTGCTCCTGGCGTTGCTGCATTTGCATATTGTTATCCTGATGATGCTGTTGGTTCTGAGACGGATTTGACTGGTTAGCGCGACTTAGAGCTTCTACTGGTGGCTGATGGAGCTGCTGACGATTTTGGTGTTGAACCAGTTGATGTTGCTGATGTCGCTGTTGATGCAAATGCTGCGGTAACGGCAGATGCTGTATTTGATGGTGCAGTTGCTGCAGTTGGTTCTGAGGCGGATTCGACAGATTAGCGAGATTTGGAGCTTCTCGTGCTTCACCAGATGGCTGCAGATGTTGTTCCTGGTGTTGGAGCAGTTGCTGTTGTTGCTGTTGCTGCTGTCGTTGAGGGCATCGGTGCTGCTGTTGCTGTTGCGGCTCCGCATTCCTCATTGCATCCTGGTCTCTCGGCTGATTGTCACGAATTGGAGCTTCTCGAACTCCTTCTTGTAACTGCCGATCCCGTTCCTGACGTTGCTGTTCGTAGTTGTTCCAGAATTGAACATATTCCTGCCGCTCTCGTTGCTGATGTGGAGCGTTTGCATTTGCTTGCGCATGTTTCTGAGAATTTTCTGTTTCTTGCTGGAACTGTTCTACAGAAAGCATCCCTTCTTGAGATCCACGATGACTTGGTGTACCAGACGAGCTGCTTGGATTTGAGGTTGATGGCATTGATGACACATTGCGACTCTGAAACAAATCCGAGATGTTTCCTGGAGGAAGGGAAGAAGAAGTGCATTGGTGTTCTGTTGACGAAGTTTGGTCGCAGAAATAGTCCCATAAAGGAGGTCCTTGAGGGTTCTGGTTGCCATCAAAAGCACTTCCACGCCTGGAATCAAGAGATTGCTGCTTGGGTGGGGAACCATTCTCAGCAGCTTCGGATTTCCTTTTTCTCATAATCTGAAAAATGATAGTGTTGACTTTTGTACTAATTTTCCGAAAATTAATAACAATCAATACCAATGACGAAAGTTGGAATTCCTAAAAAAGTAGTTCTAAATTTTTCGATTTGTCTGACATGGGAACCTTAAGAACTTGTAAATCCAGATTTTTAAATAAAATCCTAAGAGTAGATATGCTAGCCAATTTCAACCGAGATATCAGTTTCAGTGCCAACAGTCGCGTTTTCAGTGCAAAACAGCAATTTTCAAAACGATTTTCTCAGGTCTAGGGTGGCATTCAGTTAGAGGCTGATACTTTATTATTCAGAACCAGAACCAATTTCTACTGAAACTCAACCCCGAAGTACTCTCATTTCAACTCGTTTAAAAAACGACTTTCAAGGTTTTCTTGATTTTTGCACTTCTTTTTTAGACACTACCTCACCTAAGGAGTTTGATATCATCCTGAGACATTTTTGAGAAATACAGTACGTAATGTATTTTTGTACAAAATACTGTGTCCGGAAATTGAAGTATAATATCTTTTTTTAAAAGACAACTAATAAAACATTTTATTCTGACTGAATTGTCTTCTGACTAAATTGTCGTCTGACTAACTGTAACCTATCTGATCAAAAACTGAACTAACCTTTTCCGATTCTTCAATGCTGTAATTTAACAATCTTAACAGCTCTTTGTCTGTCTCCTGCTCAATTCTCCTCTGGGGCTGATGATCCTGCACCTGCAGGCCTTGCTGGTTCAGTTGGTCTTCCTGTACTTGCGGTTGCTGCCGAACCGACAGGTCTTCCTGCACCTTCAGATCCTGGCGACCCTGCTGCATCGGCTGCTCCGGCTGGTCTTCCTGCATCTGTAGTTCCGGGTGCTCCAGCAGATTATTTTGCTCCGGTTGGTCTTCTTTCTGCTGCGGTTCCTGATGGTTCATCTGTTTTTCCTGGTCCTGCTCCATTTCTTCCTTATCCAAGCGTTCACACCAAATATCCAGGAAGTCAAGAATTTTATCCTCATCAGGTTCAGTTGATGCCACTTCTTGGTCAGATTGTGAAATTTGCGGAGCTTCTTGTCGTGGTCGTTCTCGATTTTCTGGTTGAGGAAGTGGAGAATCGAGAAGTTCAGGGGAATCTTCTTTCAATGGCGGCTCACGACCGTCTACCGAAGATCCAGAATCTTCAGAGCTTTCTCGAGCAACCAGAGCTTCTTCCTCCAACCGCACTCTCTTCTCGACGACATCTTCCTCAACGACATCTAGATCCGCTTTTCGCTTTCTTGCCTCCAAATCTTCTTGATGTTCAGAAGAAGCAACTTCTGCATCATTGCTAATCATTCTGTGGACAATTGGTTCGTTGGAAGTCGACGAGTGTTCGAAAGAATCTACTGCCTTTTCTTCTTTTCCGTATCCAGGTAAATCAGGAAAATATTCTTCCACCGAAGAGATGGACGAATTAGTAAAGCTTGGAAGAGAGGAAGGACCTGATCCATGCTTCTCATCTCTCTTCTCCATAGTTGGCGATTTCAGAAGTGCTTCTTGTGATTCAAGAGCATGATGTGTTGATCTCTCACCATTGGATGTTTCAGCAGTTCCACTTTCTAGAACCACGTATTCCGAATTATTCTTTTCTTCGGGTTGGCAACCTTCGTCGCCACCATGTTGCTGTGATCCAACTTCTGAATCACTTTTTGAAGCATTATTTGGATTCGAAGCCTCACCTTTTTCACTCTCATTTCCGGCTGGTTTTTCAGAAGTTGGGCAGACTTGATCCCAGAAGGACGTCGAAGTTTCTTTGCAATCTTCCCGTTTTTCAATTTCCTCCATTTTGGAATGTGGAACAGAAAATCGATGTTGTTCCAAAGAATTTTCAAAGCTATTCTGGGTGTAGGAGGCAGTGTTCTGGGGAATAATTGGATCTTCTTCTTCTTCTACATCATTGAGCTCGTCTTCATCTGTCAAATCACTGATCGAATGATCTTCATGATAATTCTCAGCTGGGGCATCGTTTGCAAGTGTACTCTGTGGTTCGGATTCAGGATTGGCAACATCTTGGTGCATCATTGAACCTTCATTAGCTTCTCTGGAAGAAAGCACTTCAAGTTCCTCGATTTCAGTTGGAGCTTCAGCGTCTTCTTTTTTTTCAAATCTAGCTGTGTCGTTTACATCCGCCAAAGTTGAAACTGAAGATTCGGCTTCCTCAGTTTCTTCAAAATTAGAAATTGCATTTGGATTAGGGGCTTGCTCATTTTGAATCTCTGTTTCTGGTGCCAAGCTTGAAGAACCAAAAGGTTCTGGAACGGATCTATGGAAGTCTTGATTGTTCTCTTTTTCGTCTTCTTCTTCAGCAGATTGATATTCAGCTTCTTTTTCATTTTCATCAGCAACTTTTTCATGAATATCTAAATCCTCGATCGATTCAGCCGGCTTCACGTATTCTTGAATGATTTCTTCTCGGGCCAAGTTTGATGAAAATGGAGATTCTGGAGTAGACATGGAGACGTTCTGCTCATCCTCTTCTTTTTCTTCACCTCCGGCAGATTGTTCTCGAGCAATTTTTTCGTCAATTGAAGACTTTGGAGTGGCCGCTGTAGAGTCCTGCCCATTCTCCTCCTCTTCTTCTTTTTCTTCTTTATCTCCTTCATCACCACTGTCTTCATCATGATCAGAAACTTTTCCTTGAGTATCGGCATCTTCGGTCACCAGTTGCGACTCTAAATCTTCTTGAATAGTTGCTTGCTGTGTAGAGGTTGAAGAAACAAAACATTTTGGAGTGGGCGCTGGGGAGTCTTGCCAATTCTCCTCCTCCTTGTCTTCTTCTTCTTCTCCTTCACTATTGTGTTCATCATGATCAACAAATTCTCCATAATCATCGTTGGTTGATGGTTTTGGCTCAAAATCTTTTTGATTTGTAGCTTTTCGTGCTGGGATTGAAGAATACAAAGGCTCTGAAGATGGCATGGGGGAGTCTTGACTGTCCTCTTTTTTGTTTACTTCCTCTTCTTCAGAAATTCCTTCATCAACAGCTCTCTGATCATCTCCCGAATTCTCGGTAACCGCTTCTAGCTTCACATCTTTTTGAGTGGTAGCTCCTGGTGTCGAGCTTAAATAAAAAGAAGATTCTAGAACTGGGAAAGAGACGACGTACCCATTTTTTTGTTCTTCTTGAACATATTCTCCTAAAGCGAATTCTTCATCCTCCTCAGCATCTTTGGTAACATCTTCATCGTTCTCGGTAACTGCTTCTAGCTTCACGTCTTCTTGAATGATTGCTTCTTGAACCAAGTTTGAAGAAACGGAAGGTTCTGGATTTGACATGAAGAAGTCTTCATCGTCTTCTTTTTCTTCTTTTTCTCTGCAAATATCTTTTCGAGAAATTTCGTCCTCCTCTTCATCAGCAACTATCTGACCATCTTCCGAATCCTCGGTAACGTCATCTGGCTCCACACCTTTCTGGGTGGTGTCTTCTGGGGCCGCGTTTGAAGTAGAAGAAGATTCTGAATCTGGCATGGGAGAGTCTTCGGCAATTTCTTCTCTATCAATTTCTTCTTCATCATCATCAACTGTTTCATTAGTATCTGAATCCTTGAATTCTGTTGAGTCCACGTCTTGTTGAAGTATTTCTTCTGGCGCCAAGTTCGAAGAACGAGAAGATTTTGGAGTGGCCGCTGGGGAGTCCTGTCCATTCTCCTCCTCCTCCTCCTCCTCTTCTTCTTCTTCTTCTTCATCTCCTTCATCACCATTGTTTTCATCAAGATCAGCTACTTTTTCATGAGAATCTGCATCCTCGGTAACTACTTCTGGCTCCATTTTTTCTTGAATGACTGCTTTTGGGGCTAAGTTAGATGAAAATGGAAATTCTGTAGTAGACATGGGGACTTCTTGCTCATACTCTTGCTGCTCTTCTTGGACATCTCCAGCTTTTCCATAAATCTCATCTTCATCATCAGAAACGATTCCATTCTCTCCAGCATTTTCATTATTGTTGGGAGTGGCAAGCTTATCTGGAGTCTGTGATAGTTCTCTGAGATTCGAATCATCATCTACATCTTCGTGATTTTTGAATGAACCGATGTGATTCTTGTCTGACGAAGTCCAGTCTTGAAGATCATCTTCATTGTTGAGGTCCTTCACAGAATTTGTGAAATCATAGGCATATTTTTCTTTTTCTCCTTCTTCTTGCATGTCGTCTTCGTCGTCTTTTTCATCTTCAATGGAAATTCTATGAAGAAGTGATCTTGAAGAACTTTCCCTGGTTGAGGACTGAGAAAGAAAATCAGAATACGTCACATTTGGAGTAGAATCTTCTGGAGTGTGTTGCACATCACCATTCTTTTCAGCAACTCTTTCAGGAGAGCTGTAATCATTTCCTTCTTCTTCATGGATTGTTGGAGAGATACAAGAAGGAGACGGAGCTGGAGATTGGCTCGATCCCATTGCAACGTCAGGTTGGTCTTCAGCGGCATCCTCGCTTTCATCGAAAACGTCTTCTGTAGGTTTTGGAGTCCATGGCACCTCCTCAGCGCGTCCTTCGTTCTCTTCATTTTCATCACTTTCTGATGCAGCTTCTGGAGTCTGTGACACTTCTACATCTTGTTCTTTGGCCTCCTCTTTTTCATTCGCTTCTACTGCAGAATCTCGAGTCTTCGTTTCTTTTGCTGTATCTTCAGTTTCTGACAATTTTGAAGCTTCTTCATTTGCTCCTTCTTTTTCATCCGCTTCTGAAGTGAACATAATCGGAGATACCGGAGCGTCATAGTAGTAGTCCGGAACATCATCTCCCATTTCATCCTCTTCACCGTTTTCTGGTTCTTCCGACGGAGTACCGGAGGGATCATCATTTTGGAGAGAAGGAGGACGACGCACGATTGGATTGAAGATATCCTGTTTATTGAGTGTATCTTCGGCGAGTGTGTCCATAGCTTCAAATTGATCATTCATGAAGTCATCATCCGCAACTTCCTCTGCCTGCTGGCTGGTGGATGGACCTGAAAAATATCACAAAATGAAATAAATTAATAAAAAACGAAGTTTTTTGTTTTCACTGAAAATTATTATTCATGATTTTTTTTTTCATTTAGTAAACGTGCTCAATTTTTTATTTCTAAAATTGTTCCTCTAACAGTGAAATTTTTTGAAATATCATTTTTTGAAAATTGACTTTTTAATAAGTTGATGTTTAAAAAAGTTTTCGGAGGGCCAGCATGATACCGTAGCACAACGTTTTATTTTTGATTGAATTTTCAAAAGAAAAATCTTAAATTTGATTCAGCTTAAATGGTCAGCCAACAATTTTCAATTTTTCTCAAAATTTTTTTTGAGATGACTAGGAAATTGTCGTTTTGTGAGAAATAGTCCTGGTGACTACACTATTGCTTTGAATTTCGAAAAAATCGCATACCCGTTTCCGACTCAGGTTCAGGTGAACGTGGTTCCATTTTGATCCGTCTGTGGTGTACTTCTTCCTGATTGTCCTCGACGTGCTCCTCATCTTCCTCGTCTTGCTCCTCATCTTCCTCGACTTGCTCCTCATCTTCCTCGTCTTGCTCCTCATCTTCCTCGACTTGCTCCTCATCTTCCTCGACCGGATGTTCGTCTTCTGAAAACCAATTTGTTTTTGTTATTTCAAACTCAAAAATGCCCTTACTTTGATTGTAATTGTATATTCTTTTAATTTTATAAAAGAAATCGTCTTCTGCCTCCTCTTCCAGACCAGTGATGCATCCGAAGCATTGCGACTTGGCCGTTATGCCAAAATACAATCGTTCCAACGTGGTCCTATCCTTTCCACAATTGCTGCATTCGCCTGCGGTCCCGTCTTCGTCTGTTGTCGCGTCTAACGGTGTTTGGGGACACGGAAGCAGAATCTGCTCACACCCAATAATTAAGGGACGGAGATAAAGATACTGGAGTAAAATAAATAAGAAAATGTTTTGATAAATTGCAACTCACGTTTTTGGTATGGAAGACGGTTTGTTTGGGCGCGACGGGCTTGAATGTGACCCTGCCCAACAACTCAACAAGCTTCGTGAGGCCGTTTTTTCCATCCACTGCCCAATACTGCGTTTGGGGTCCAACATCCACTGGGCGCCAGGCTTTTCGGAACCGAGTGGCTTCTTCCTCCGAACACTCCTGAAAAATAACCAAATTCAAGAATTTCGAGTCAAATCAAACTATGTATCAATTCTTATTCAAGGTGAGTCAGATTTTTAAAAAAACATTCAGTTATTTAAGTTCAGCAAAAGTTGAGAAATGGTATTGAGGATTCATATTATGTGTTAACTGTTCTAGCTAGCTGTTCTAATTCTATTGCGAAAAAAGAAATATTGAAAATTGGAAATGGCGAATGTTTGAAAAAATGAGTTCATTTAGTTTCTCAAAGAAACATCTCCGACAATTTTAGCAGTGAATGCCCAACACTTTTTTCAAATTGTTTTTTTCAAAATGTGGAAAGTTTCAATTTTCAGGAGACGTGAATTCAAGTCCGATGAGCATAAGAATATATCAATTGGATGACAATTCTTGTTCTCAAATGATTTAGATGTTGAATTGGGCTGACATTGCAGAACTTTTTTAAACGTTCATTTGGGATAGCGGTCCCCAGTGAACATTTGGATCCGTCTTTTCTGAGTCTAATAAAACGTACCGTATAGATGATCCTTGACAAGAAATGAAGGACTTCCAATTTGTCCTCTGGCTCAAGTTCCGGGGTCTCGACCTTTTCCTCTTTTCTCCGTCTTCTGCCTCCTCTTTTCTCATTACCTATCGGCTGGTTCGATAGGAAACTGGAAAAAAAAAGTTTTTTTTTGTTGTTTCAAGCTTAAACCCACCGATAGAAGAACTTGGCCGATTTTGGATTTAAATCGTTCATTTCGAACGGAATGCGAGCTACGCGCTCCGGCGTGCTGAACTTGATGGCCTGGATGCAAAGATCATGAACAACGTTTCCATAATGATTTTTGGCCATTAAACATTGCACGAAATCTCGGAATTTTGTTTTCTCATATCCATCAAGGCTGGATACAACAGCCCAACTTTTTGTCAATTTGAGTGGCCAAGATTCTGGCTGAAAATATACATGAATTATTTTCAAGTAGCGATTTCGATGAAAATGATTATGAATATCTGACATGAAATTTTTGGCTCTGATGGGTTTGAAACACAATTCGAAAACTTTTCTCTAATTTTTTAAGAGATTATAATTTGATTTCAAACTGTTTGGAGGTAAAACTCCTAACACTCTAGTCATAAAAATTTACAAAAAAAATAATTTTGTTCCAAAATACAACAACAAACACCAGCTGATCTCTAGAATCTATAAAAGTGCACTCCTTTGCTGTCAGCGTAATAGTTACCCCCCAAAATACGTGCTCTACTAATCTCCAGTTTTAAGGCTTCGTACTACTAAAATCTGTTTCCAAGTTTCTCTACTACATCGTTTTCTATTCGTGTTCAACGCACCTGGTGTTTCAGTGAAATGTTATGTTTCTAGAAACCAAAAAGAATTTCGATTTTTTACACAAAGTAATTTTCAAAAGCTTTACTTCTTTTCTCTGTTAGAAGCCCAAGTCAACTTTGAGCTCATTGATCTTGATTTCTGTAAAATATATTAGTAATTCATTGATTGATAACTTACTCATCATAGCATCGTTATTATTTTACTAGTTGACAACTTTTTGATATTTTTCTCAGAAATCGAGATAATTGAGTTCGAAATTGACGGTTTGGGTGGGCTTCTATCAGAGAAAATACGGTAGGTCAAATTCGCAATTTTTTTGTACATAAAAGCTCCATTTGACCATAAGTGTTTGACATTTGTATTGAAAAATATTGAAAAATTTTTAAAGCTCACCAAATTTGGCATCGGCCGAAGGTTTTTCGCACTCAAGGCGAGGCTTGAAACCTTTGGCTCTTGGCGTGGTCTGAGGATCCGTCTTTTCTGACTCCGACTGAAATTGGGGAACGAATCCTTCCAATTTCTCCAAATTTTTTTATGACGCTTGGTATCGAGTACCTTTCCCAACACTTCTTGGTACTTCTCGAATGAAGTAAAATGGTGTTGCTCACCATATTTGCCAATACTGAAAATTGTTCTGAATTACATTCAACTAGTAACCACTTTGCATTTTAAAATTTTGAAAATCGGTCTGCGTTTTTTTGGAATTTTTGGATATTTCGGAATTTTCAGAATTGACGTAAAATTTGGATTTTTCCGAATTTTTTAATTTCTGTAACTTTAGAATTTTTCGATTTTTGGAATTTTCGGATTCATTGGGAATTTTCGAATTTTTTGAATTTCTCAATTTTTCGAGCTTGTGTTAGAATTTGTTTTAAGACTGAATTTCAGAATTTTTGGGGTATTCTAGCAACGATTTTTTGAAAAATTTCGATTTTGAATTTTGAATATTTTGAAATTTTCATAGATATTTTTGATTTTCAAATTTTCTAAATTTTCGAATTTCGGAATTTCGAAAGTTTAGGAATTTTTCGGATTTTTCGGATTTTTTTTAAATGTTTTGAGTTTTTGAGCTAAAATTTGTTTTTGAAAAATCACGATTTTTAGTTTTTGAAATTTGAAAAATTGTGAAATTTTTGAAGTTTTCGAGGTATTTTCTGAGTTTTTTTTCGAGAAATTTCTAAAAACTGGATTTCTGGAAAGTTTTGAAATTTTTGGATATTCTAGCTAAGAATTTGGTTTTGAAAAAATTTGAAACTTGAGTTTTTGCATTTTGGAAACTTCTGGAATTTTTTTTGAATTTTTGAATTTCCAAATTTTTTCATTTGTGAATTTTCACAATTGTTGAGTTTCAATTTTCTGAGTTTTTAACTGAATTTTTCTATCTGAATTTCAAAATTTTCCAAATTTTTGAATTTTTCGGAATTTTGAAAGTTTTGAAAATTTTTGATATTTCGGAACTTTTTTGAAGCTTTTTTTTCTGTTTTCCGGGTTGTTTAATTCATATGTTTTGTTTCAGTTTTTGAAAAACCCAAATTCCAAAAAGCGTAAAATTTTTGAAACAATAATTGGTTTTCAAGGAATGTATATTTCAGAAAAAGGTTTCATGTTTTGATTTATCTATTCTCCTCGCTATCAAAATTTCGATATTTTTTTCATTTTTAACCAATTAACATGAAAATTTTGTTTACTGTTTTCCTATTTTTTCCTAACAACCTATTCTTTCCTAACAATTTATTTTCCTAACAACTTTCAAATTTTCGTCCCGGGTGGGCGGGGAGGAAATTTGTGGAATTTCTCGAGACTCACCTGTCACCTCTTCTTCATCTTTTTGTCTCTCCGCATTTCGAGCTCTCCTTCTTCCATTTCCTAAAAGAAGCAAATATAAATTTCGACATAATTATAACTCTCTGCTTTATGCTGATCTTTTGACTAGAATGTAATTTACTGGTATTTAAAGAGAATTCTAGAATCCTAAAATGCTAGTTCTAAAGTACAACATCAAATATTTCGCTGGGTATTCTCAGTTTTAGTACTTACCTCTTTTAGTTTCCGTATTTCCACTTGTAGGAGCCGTGCTTGTGGATGGTACGTTTCTGATGTCGACCAGCTGATCCCCCGATTCAGCTGGACGAGAGACGCGACGAGTTCCTTTTTTATTTCTTCTTCGTGCCATTGTTGTTAGTTGTTGAGCTCTGAAATTCCAAGTATCAGAATCATACGGCATAACATTTGAGCAACAAGAAGGAAATTATGAGATCATGCAGAAAAAGGAGCTACATTTGGAAGTAGAAGAGATTCTGTTTTGCTTTTTTTTCTTTTCAAATTCACTTTTTCATTGCTAACATTACGTTTCAGAATGTATCGAGAAATGCTTAAACAGGGAAATGTCGAAATCTACTGTGATGTCTGGCCGTGTGATAGAGAGTGTGGCAAATTTCATAAGCCGTTTCTCAACACTACTAGTAAGTTTCAAAATTCAGAATATTGTTACAAAGCGTCAATTTTCAGAACTTCGGCAATTGAAGTCGAGGACAGAGTCAGTGGACCAAGTAGCGAAGAAGGAAGGTGTGAGCTTCAGAAAAAAATTTTAGCGATGAAATGAATTTTTAGCCAAAGAAAAGGCAAAAGGAGCGTTTGAGGAGATCATGGAAGCAGCAGCAAGAAAGGTTAGTTTTTCCGGGTTCTGTGAAATTTTTATTGGAGAGACGGATACATAGTTGAGCGCCCCAAAAATGGAGAAGTGTAAAAATACCGTAGCCTAAAAAATCAGAAAAATTCCAAAACAACTTTGCTGACAAAATTGGAAGTTTAGATTTTATCATTTTAAAGGTGTGGGAGGAGGACATAGGAAGATAGTTCCCGAAACTCCATATATATGAGTTCGAAGAGAAGTTGAACACGTGGGCTCACCGATTCAGGTAGCGCGCCAGCTGAGGGCCAGTGAGAATGTTCGGAAGGACATTTTCGGAATTTTTCGATATCTCGAAAATTTCGATTTTTCGTATTCCGGAAAATTCCGATTTCGAAAATTTGATATTTTAACAAATTCCTATTTTGTCTACTTTTGAGATGGAGCCGTCAGTACTATTGTTTCGGATTACTTCCTAATATCAGGTACCGTAATCTAACCTTTCATCAGTAAAACTCCAAACATCGGGTCCCAAAGTACAAACTTTCCAATCTTCCTTCTCTAAACTCACGTGAAATAATAAGCAGTTGAGAAAATGCAAACCACAAATTGAAGAGAAAATTTTGGAAACGCTGAACTTTTCCAGCGGCCTTAGTTGGCGAATTTACGGGACCTTGAAATTAAAGAATCAAACATCCTACAGGAGAACTCTAAATTTCAAAGCTCAAACTACAAACAACATGTCTCTAAGTGTTTATCTTGGTCACCTCTTCCAAAAAATGTATATGTGATATCAACTAATTGAGGGGTCGAAACTTTGTTTACTTTATCTTCAAGTCCCGTGATAGTTGAAATTTCGAAATATTGGAAATTCGGAAGTAATGACCAAAGTAGAGAGTGAATGACAAAAATGTTCCAAAAACCTAGTTAAGTTAGCTTTGGAAAATCTAGCTATCGAAAAGAAATTCTGAAGAAAAACTGTGAAGGTTCTGGTTTGTGGGACTAGCTCCAATTACCGTATAAGCCGTATGAGAAGGTTCCTAATCACCTCTAAAGTACTTCTGTTAAACGGTCCCCGAATAATTCTACTGTGTCTTATTTTTTTTGTTGAAAATTTGAATTAGTGAGTTTAGAGCTAAACCAGAGATCTTGAAAATATGGATGATCAAAGCCCATTTTCATTGATTTTCACAATTCACCTGATGATAAAGCAAAAATTTTTTAGAAAATTTTCATAATTTTAGGTGCGTGACTTTCGCGCTTTTTTCCTTCATTCGGATATTTCCAGAATTAAGAGTGGAAGTATTCAAAACTCAAACAGATTTGATGCTCTGAACGTTTGTCCAGCTACATGGATATCAGATTTTTCGCAAAACTCAGAAGTCGAATTTTTGAATTTCTATCGAAAATTTGAGAATATGTGTAAAACGTTCAGAATTCACTCCCTTCTCGAAATTGGAATAATAGAAACCCCAACACTTCAGAAATTATATTGTTAGAAAAGTTTTGGAACATTCTATAACTTGAAAAAATCTAAACTATAGATTTCAAAACTTGTGAATAACAGAATTTCTGAAATTTGGAAATTCTCGAGTTCTCAGAACTAGGGTTTCCATGCGGGTAGCGGTATACCCGCCCGTACCCGCCCGTACCCGTACCCGCTTGATACCCGGAACTTTTTGTGTTTGCAGACAATGCGCGCAACTTGCCGACAATTCGCGCGCATTTTCGGTTTCTTTCCGAAACAAATTCGTCCATTTTTACTTGCTGATGAATTTTTATACCTGAATTATTTTTTATTTTCACTTTAAAACTTTTTTCGACATTAATAAGCGTCGAAAATTGTCAACAAATCATTCAAAAAACATTTCAATCGAAGTGTCGGCAAGTTGCGCTCATTGTCTGCAACACACAAAAAGTTCCGGGAAGCAAGCGGGCGGGTAGCGGGCGGGTACGGGTGCAGGCGGGTAGCAGCTACCAGTTCGCTACCCGCCCGTCATGGAAAGCCTACTCAAAACTTGTAATTTTGAGAATGTTCCGAAATTTAGGAATTCTTGCGACTTTTGATGATTGAAGGAATAAAGTTTGACATTTTGAACATTTCAAAGTTAAAAAAAACAAAACTTTTTTAAACCGAAATTTCGGGAAGTTTTTTTTCAATTCGGAATATCACAAGTTTCCGAAATTTTGATTTTCAAAATTTCCGAATTGTTGGAATCACGGAATATTCCGAATATCCGATAATTTACGATGAAATCTGTGATAGAAATGCCTCTCTAACTTTTTACTTTGAGGTCAATTATCTCGATTTCTAAAAGAGATATCAACAATGTGTCAACTGATAAAATGATCGTCATAATGTCCCCAACATTTCATCAGTTGACAATTTTTGATATCTCTTATACGGACCAAGATAATTTATTTCGAACTGGACAGTGAGTGCCCTTCTATTACAGGTTTTACTGTGAGTTTCTGATAATTCGAAATTTAGAAAATAATATTTTCAAACTACAAATTCAGTTAAATCCCGTGTCTGACTAAAATTTCTTCTTTGAAATCTGAGGAGCCTTGTTTGGTTCTAGTTTGGAGCATTTTTTGATTTCGGTTTAAATCATAACATCTCGAAATCATTTTGAAATTTTATGCCGGAAAGTGAAAAATAATGATAATGAAAGGTTTGATAAGGTTTTGAGGGATCTCTGGTTTGACTAAATTTGCTCATTTTTCAAAAGTACAAAAGTGTGATAATCAAAAAAAAGTCAGACCTTTTTTTTCAAAATTTTTCCGTTTGATGATTATATCGAAGCAACCTTTTTTAGATTATTTGAAGGCACGAAACAATTTTGCTTTTTTGCGATTTCTTAAGCTCAGTTCTTATTTTAGGGACATCAACAAGTTCTCGAGAACATTCTTCTTTTTTTTCACTTTATTCTTCTTCATCCCTATCCCAGTTTCAAAAAAAGAGGATAAGAAAAAAAGAGAAGAAGAAACCTCGTTTCCGCTTTCTAGATCTCCCATTCTCTATGTTGTTCTATCCGAAAATATTCTCTTCTTCTTTTTAATTTTGTTTCGGCTTCTCTAAAAATCGAGAATCGAGGAATAACTTATAGAGTGGTGACAATGCTCGTCTTCTGGCACGCAAAGGACAAGGAATAATATGTTTATCAGAATAGAAAGGAATATATGTAGAATGAGATGGATGAGGTTTACATAATAGAGTGAAAATGTCAAGAGTGCGAGAAAATGAGATGGCATTACTTGAACAATAGAATAAACAACATCTGAGAAGAAATGATAGTTTTTCGAGACAAAACATGGGAAAATGTGAAGACTTTGGGCAAATGTGAGCCAATAAAGTGTGTGAGAGAGTGAATAAAACAGTTTTAAAGTTTTGAAGATGCTAGACACGAATCAAGATTTGTATAGAAGATGAGATAAGAAATAAGAGAAAATCAAAAATAGTGGAAGTTTGCGGAATGGGACTTTCTGAAATTTATCAAAAATTTATAAAGTGTCGGATTCTTCACAATTTTAATATTCCGAATTGAATATTCAAAGAACTTTCGAATTTCTAAGAATTTAGTTTTTTTTAATCTAAAAAAAAAATTCTGATATCAAAACATCGGAACGTTTAGAACTTTAGAAATTAACAAAAATATTGTATTTGCTAATTCAAGTTTCGGAACACTGAAAATTAAAGAAAAAAATTTTGAACTTTTCCCAATTTTCAAAAACCAAAATTTTGGAAGTTCAAAAGTTGGAAGATTCTTGGATTTTTGGAATTTTGAAATTTCTGTATTTAATTTTTTCAGAACTTTACCTGAAATTTTCAAAATTTCAAGATTTGAATTTTTGAGAATTATTTGAAAACCGAAATTTTTGAAACGTTGGATATAAATATTTATTGTTTTTGGAAATTCAAAAATAATCCAAAAATTTCAAAACTTTTAACATACAAATTTTGCAGGAATTTTCTGAATTGTTAAAAAATAACTAAGATAATTTCAAAATTTGAAATTTTGAGAATTTACGGATTTCCTAAATTCTCGGAATTTTCAAAATTAGGATTTTGAAATTTTCAGAATTTATCCGAATTTTCAATGTTTGAAAATTTTAATATCCAATTTTTACAATTTTCAGAAAATCGAATGTCTGAAGTTTAAATTTTGGAAATTTTCAAAAGTTTCAAATTTGGAGAAGTCGATTTTTCAAAAATATGGAGTCCTCAAATTCGGGAATATTCCTAATTTCCAAAATTTCAAAAATGCTAATATAGGCCCTTCTATTGCGGGCGCCTTTCTATTACAGGAGGCCCTTATAATTTTTCACTTCTATTAAAGGAACCTTTCTAATACAGATTTTACTGTAATTGAATCTTACCTATGCAGGCGATAGTGAGTTAAGATTCGTTTTTGACAGTTTTTTTTCAGAAAACTAAAAATTCGATAAGAGACAAGAGAGAAGAAGAGAAAAAGAAGAGACGTATGAGTCTTGAGAGTTCAATAAAAGAGCTTGAAATTCATTTTCAACGGTTTTTCAAGAACATTTTGGAAAAAAAACGAGATTATGATCAGTGTGTCTTTTCGAAAAAATGCACAATGCGGCATTCCGAAGTGTATGGCCTTGGTGTGATTTCTAGGATATTTTTAAGTGGTGGCCTAACTTTTACAAATTTGTTTTTTTAGGCCACCACTTTAAAATGACCTAAAGAACACACCAGGTGCATGTCAGGCGATTTCTTGGTCATTTTAACGTGGCCTAGAAAACCAACTTGCAAAAGTTAGGCCACCACTTCAAAATGAATTCGTCTCGAGAAATTTTTCAAAAATTCCTCGAGAAATTCCTAGAGGAATACCTCAAAAAATGTCGTGGAATTTCTTGAAGTCGTGTCGAAAGAATACACTGATTATGATCATCTATACTAGCTAAGAAAATAAAAAGATTATTCAAACGAGGCTCCATTCACATCCTTCCAGTTTCAAGCTTCTGTTTTTTTGTGAATTTGTGGGAAGTGCAAGTGGAGCATCGTTTTTTGTGTGACGGACCGACCGGCAAAACCAAACAAATCACAACAAAGAGCCTCATGCATATTGTAAACTATTGCCAGTTCCAATCAAATGAGAACTGCCGCAAACGTCGACGCCACGTCAGCGTGGCGCGAAATCGTGGCCACTAATGAGCGAGTCGAATATGCACTTAACAAAAAGTTTCATACGCAAGCAGGGAGGCGCAGAGAACAAAATGAGAAAAGCAAGAGGAAGAAGTGGAAAAAAGGGGTCCGCGGCCCTATGGCTCTATTTCTCCTCTTTTTTCGTCAGTGAAAATGAGAGAATTAGAGCCATACCTCCAGAGCCAGAGAGTATTAATCCCTTTCAACCAATCCTCAACTTTTTTCTGCGGATCAAGGGCCGAGCGGCCCTCCCGTGTAACACATGCTTACTTCTAAGGCGTGCACTGGAGGGAGGAAAAGGGGACCCGCACTCCGAAACAACACAAGGAGAAGAATAAGAAGAAGAAAAAGAAGAAAAGAAGAGTGAAGATGATAGGGTCGAGAATGTCGAATGCTTCCCGCCCGAAAAAAAATAGAAGAGAACAGCGAGCCGGCAGTGGAGACGTAGACATGGGGAGGGGAGGATGGGGTTCTCTTGAAAAGGTGGGCGCTGTTGGTCTTTTTTGCGAAGCGCTCCGGCCCCAGAAACAGAACAAAAAGAGTGGAGAAAAAAGTGTGATGCCTGAATAGAGAAGATGAATTTGACGTTTTGATTGATGTGGGTCCGTTCAATTAAAAGGAGAAGAGCTGAGATTGAAAAATAAGAAAGGAGATGGATTTTAGATGAATAGGTTAAGGGGATTTGAGATAGATGGAGAAAAAGAGAAAAAAAAGAGATTTTCTTTCTTAAAGGTCGAGGATGAATGAAAATTTCGGAATTCATTATATCGAAACAACCTTTTTTCGCAATAATCTTAAATTCAGTCAGTAATGAAAATCTGATATTCAGAAAATAAAAATTTTGAAGTTTGTAAAAGTGGGTGGACATGAAAAATATTTCTCTCGAAATTACGTTCCCCTCGTGGAGTCAAACTTGTGGACCCACCGTTGGATGTTGCTACCGACTGAGCTATGGTGGCGTAAATTAAGGCGGCCAAACGATGGGATAATTAAAAGTAGCACGATACCCTCGCGTTGTATGAACACTAAATACTGTACATAGCCACGTCAGAATGGATACTGTAACTCCGAAAAAAATCCGAAAATTCTCATGGAGAGGACATTTTCGGGTATTTTTTCAGGCGAGGATATACGTTTTGGCGTGACGGTGTACAATAATTTGTGTTTCTTTACCGCGTAGCCACCTGCCACTTTCAAATATTAAGTTGGTCTGCTTGTGCCACCGTAGCTCATCTGGTAGCAACTCAGAACTCCTGACGGTGGGCCCACAACAGGGCTGAGCAAAAGCTCCGAATAAGGATTCCATTCGGTTGGGGAATTCAGCCGATC